AAACTCCCACCCACACCCACCCAGACCACCGTACTTCACCCACCCCACCCATACCCACCCACACACCCACCCACACCCGCCCAGACCACCGTACTTCACCCACTCCACCTAACCAAACCAAACCCACCCTACTTGCCTAGAAAAAACCACCACCACACCCACCCAGACCACCTAACCAACCCCCTAACCCACCCACCTAGAAAAAACAAAAAAAAAAAGAAACAAATCGAAAAAACGCAAAAAAATCAAGAACACCCAAATCGTAAAAACCAAATTGAAACAAAAACCAAAAAATCGAAAAAACCAAACCCAGATCCACCCTGAAATCCCTTACCCACAACTACCACCGAAACCACAAGCCTCAAAATAAAAAAAAAACACCCACACAAAATAAATTCAGAGATCCGAAAAAAAAAAATAAACAAAAACAATTGAAATCGAACAAAATAAATAAATATACAATTATCTTCTGAAATTAATAAAAAAAATTACAATCATATCAAAAATTAATTATAATCAGAATTGTTTAACAAAAAAAAAAAACTAGATCTACAATGTTGTTATTGTTGTTGTCGTTGCTGCTGGTGTCGTTGTTGTCGTTGCGGTGGTGTCGTTGCTTCTGGTGTCGTTGTTGTTGTCGTTGCGCGGTGGTGTGGTTGTTGTCGTTGTTGTGTCGCCGTTGAAGTGGTCAGAAAAAGGGAAAGAAGAGGAGAGAACGAGGAGATCGAAGAAGAGGAGAGAAGGAGGAGATCGAAGAAGATAAAGAAGGAGAATGAGATGACTAGAGAAAAAGAGAAGCGGAAAGAATGAGGAAAGGAGAACCAGAAGAGAGGAGAGAGAAAGAGAATAAGAGAGGAGAGAGAACCAGAAGAGAGGCGGAGAGAGAAAAGAGGAGAGGAAAGAGAAATGAATAGGGCTCGGGGAGGGGGACCGTTTATTCAGGGTTCAGTTTTTTTTATTTTATTTTGTTTTTTAAAAAAATTATAATTCCGTCGGAAAAGGTTTAAAATCTGTCAGAAATTTATTATTTTCCGACGGATTTTTTTCCCTCGGAATTTACAACTTCAGACGGAATATTCCATTGGAAAAAAATTTCCGATGGAATATTCCGTAGAAAGCAGTAAATTCCCGAGGGAAAAAAATCCGTCGGAAAAATTCCGAGGGATTTTTCGTCGTAACATACCTTTTCTAGCGGAATTTTCTGACTGACCCAAATTTCGTCGGAAAATTCAAAATTTTCAACGGAAATTTCATCCGTCGGAATAATTCCGTCGAAAAATGGCCTATTTCTAGTAGTGCCAGCGATCACTTACACTTGGACTCCTCCATAATCTGTGACTATGTGAAGTCGTTTGTGCAGAAAGATCCATGTTTGAGAGTTGAATTCATACAACATCTCATCTCCAACAAATTTCAATTCGATGTTCCCTATCGAAGAGCATGGTATGCCAAACAGAAAGCTATACCGGAAATTTTTGGGGATTGGGAGAACTCGTCAACAAACTTTCTTTTTTCATGCAAGCCCTCCGTGAGTCAAACCCGGGCACCGTAGTTTTTATGGAAGTACAAAGCTATTGCTGAAGGCTTTTACTACAGCAACATGGAGGTGTTTGAACGAGTGTTTTGGGCCTTCAAGCCTTGCATCGCTGGGTATAAACATTGCATACCTGTTCTCTCTATCGATGGGACACACTTGTATGGGAAATATAAAGGCACACTTTTGGTTGCTACAAGTGTTGATGCTAATTTTCAAGTATTTTCTCTAGCATTTGCAATAGTTGAAGGGGAAAACACCTCTAGTTGGTCTTGGTTTCTAAGTTGCATTCGGGTTCATGTTACTAATCGAGATGGCCTATGTGTTATATCTGACCGACATGCTGGGATTATTGCTACAATGACTGACCCGAATGTTGGATTTCATGAGCCACGGGCCTTTCACAGGTTTTGCATTCGATACATGGCCTCTAACTTGAGGACTCATGTGAAGAACAACAACGTGAGAGATAGGTTCAAGGCTGCTACTTACCAATGCCAAGAAAAAAATTTGATGAAGATATGCGTTCTATCGGTGAATCTTGTGTCAAGTCCCTAGAGTACATTATGGATGTGCCGTGTCGCAGATGGTCCTTGTTTCATGACGCTGATCGTAGGTATGGAATATGTACAACAAATTTCTCAGAAACATTTAACAATGTGTTGAAGGGAGCTTGTTTTCTGTTGATCATGTCCCTATTCGAGTTAACTTTCCACAGAGTTAACAAGTATTTTAATATAAGAAGGGATAGTTCACTTGCTAGGCGTCCGACGAATATGCATACTCACCTAAGGTAACTTCCATTTTGGAGAAGAATAACGGAAAGGAAAAATATCATACAGTAGATGTAGTAACAAGAGTGGTAGTCACATACAGTTGGTTTACCTACAACCGTTAGAGAACAACTGGGAGCGGATACGTGACTACAGCTGGGGTAGCGCATGTATGGCGACCTTGTATTGCCATCTTTGCAGAGCATCCCAGCGAGATAGATGTGAGATCGGCGGTCCCTTGATTGTGCTTCAGGTAGCCATTTAATTTCATACCATTTTTTAACTATTACGTACTTAAGGGTGACTAAATTTAACTTGTGTGTTTTTTTTTTATTACAGTTATGGGCTTGGGAGCACATCCACGTTGGTAGGCCGGTAGGCCAGCTATGGCTGGTAGCCGTCAACGGCAGGATGGCCAGGAGGAGGAAAACGATTAGGAGCATGCATATGAGGCTCCGCCACCCCCTCCACCAGACGTGGCATACGGTTGTAGGTATGTATGAGTTATTGTTAAGTTTTCCACATACTGCTTTATTTTTCAAATAATTTCTCATGAATGCTGTTATTATATATAATTAGGTGGCTGGAGCGGAGACTTACTCGTGTGCATGCAGCGAGGGGTCTACCGTATTACAGAGATGCATTCGATAGACTGACCGGGTCTCTAGTGATCAATTACACTATAAAAACTAATTTAACACCCCGTTCATTTTTCAATAAGTTAATTATGATGTTACTGACGGCGTATTAATGCAAATGACGTGGGATCCGTACGTCGCTGGCTTAGTCGATGCCATGCCCCCATATCTTCGTGATCATCAGATGGAGTGGCGTGCCATGACAGTCCTTATCTGTTTTGAGGTAGTGGAGGCTCACCTTCCTGATAGAGTCATGCGACAGTTCAGCCTTCGTCAGGCCATCCCCGCCACGTGTGACACGAGTGTCAACTTGCACAAGACAGACCAGCGAGGAAAGGGGGACGTGAGCTGGGCATTTCAGCATGCCCCTTTCATTGACATGTGGGATCAGCGGTTACAGCACGTCGTGGATGGTGCGCCTTTCCAAGGCCGGATGGAGTATCACTATCCATACATGGTATGGTACAGAAGCAACACCCGACGCTTCATCAACCCTAACTACACCCCACCCTCAACTCATTATCAACCAGCTTTTGGAGACATCAGTGGATATGTGAGTTTTAGATGGATTTTTATTTTTTTTATCAATTTATAATTTATGATATTATTAAATTGATTTATTGTTGACTTATGCAGGCGTTTGATATGCTGGCTATACATGATGCACTAAGAGTCTTGAGCATATCATATCCCACCATACCGCAGATAGATGAAATTCAGGCAATGACTGTGAGTAGCTTACAGGGGCATGGTCATAGTCATCTTATCTAGGGGAGGGACCAATCACAGCAGCGTTCACACCGTGAGGTAGGCGAGAGTAGTAGGGGACAGACTCACACGTCCCCTACAGCGTCCTCGCAGTTGTTTTACATGCAGGAGGATTTCGCCGTAGCCTTTTCTGCGCCATACTCATCACAGGAGGGACAATCATCCAGCCAACAGACTCCTCCCTAGACTTCTACCCCATATCCTTTTACAACGATATCTCAGTACTATCATCGTCGGAGACCACGAGTTGATAGACAACAATTACGTCGAATAGATAAAACAGGATCTTAGAATTTCTTTTGTTAGTTTGTTGTTATCGAATTCTCTAGTACGTTGTATCCAAACAAATATTATCAATATTACTGACTTTTTTAATTGATTCTTTGTCCATTATCAACTTCACCATACGCATTCATTCTTTTCATTGAACTGGTTGTTGTTTGTTGTGGTTGTTGTTGTTGTTGTGCTGGTTGTTGTTGTTGTTGTTGTTGTTGTTGTTGTTGTTGTTGTGGTTGTTGTTATTGTTGTTATTGATGTTGTTGTTGTTGTGGTTGTTGTTATTGTTGTGGTTGTTGTTATTGATGTTGTTGTTGTTGTGGTTGTTGCTTTTGTTGTTGTTGTTGATGTTGTTGCTGTGTTTGTGGCTGGTGTGGTGTTGTTGCTGTGTTTGTGGTTGGTGTGGTGCCTGCAGTCTGCAGGTTGGGTGTTGTAGGAAAACCCCCAACCAGGCTGACGCTTTATGTTTGAGAGTGACACGCTAGCATGGTTAGCGTTTTTACCTTGGCCAAATTTTTTTAGAAAATTTCAGTCAAGGTAAAATGCCAACTAGGCTGGCATTTTTTCCTAGACTGAATTTTTTTTAAAAAAAATGGACAGGGTAAAAACACCATCCTAAATGGCAATTTACCTTGGAAGCTTAGTTTGGTAAATAGTTTTGCCACGCGTCTACTTTGAAGTATAGTTTCTTAAAGAAACTCACTTTGGTAATTGATACTCCCTCCATCCCTTTTTTTTTAAAATTGGATTACAAAGAATAATGTGAGCATGCAGGCTATAACTTGTGAAAGATGGAAAATATTTTGTTAGAGATATCGGAAAATATATTAATGTGATGTAATTTTAATATTGATAAGAGTAGGAATATAGATCGATTATATACTTCGTATACATTTTAATATGCATATAATATTTTGGAAAAATTGTTTTAAATAATATGACCTTTATCCCGTCCGCTAAAAACAAGTCCACCTTTTGTTTATTTCAGAATAATACGACCTTTGGGGGGTGTCCGCTTTAAACAAGTTGTAACCTGATTAATAGGTTATATGGACACGTGTCATCATTTTATTGGTCTAAAAATATAATTTTTTTAATTAAAAAAACCCCATCCCCTCCAATCCCCTCCCCATTCTGGTTTGTGCGCCCCCTCCCCCCTTTCCGTTTGGCCACCATGGCACTATGGCAAACCCCCGAAACCAACACCACCTCAGCCACTACCATTCCAGCCCCACCTAAACCCACGACCTAGCCCAGCACCAGTGCCGCACCACCACCCAGCCTGACGTCGATGCCACCCCTTTCCCCTCAACCACCTCGAATTTCCCCTCCATCTCCTTTGCTACAGCTTCTTCCACCAGTAATAACATCTCACATAACCCCCCTTGCAAATCACTGCCTCACAAACCCACAACACCAGACCCACGACCACCACCTGACCACAGCCAGCTCCACCACAATCACCCAACATACCACAAAAACTAGCTCGCAAAAACCCTTTCACCTGCAAAAACCAGCCCAAAGTTGGTCGCCGCTAGCATCTTTTTGGTTTCGGGTTTGGGTTTGGGTGTGGTGAGTGGGGGTGGTGGTCACGGGTCTGGGTTTAGGTGGGGTCGCGGTCTTGGTTGTGGTTTCGGGTTTGGGTGTGGTAGGTGGGGGTGGTGGTCACGGGTCTGGGTTTAGGTGGGTGGGGATGGTGGTGGGCTAGCTCTGGTGAAGAAGGGGGTTATTGGTGGTGGTTGGGCAGAGTGCCTAGTGACGGAGAAGAGGCAAAAGGAGGTGGGTAAGGGAGGAGGGTGATGGGTGGTCGCGGGGGAGGAGGAGGGGCTGATTCTATTTTTTGTTTTTTTATTTTGTTTTTTGATTTAAATGTTAATAAATCATAATTGAAGTTGTTATTAAGAGTTAATTACATTGTTAAATGAATTTATTAAGAAAAAAATAAAAAATTTAACCGGTTATTCAAGCTGTATGTTTAAAACGGACACCTTCAAAGGTCGTATTATTCTGAAATAAACAAAAGGTGGACTTGTTTTTAGCGGACGGGTGAAAGGTGGTATTATTTAAAGCAATTTTTCCTAATATCTTTTATAATGTTTCATTATGTACTAATTACATATATATAACTTACACTTTAATATACGAATTGAACCTGTCAATAATGTTATATCAATTGATCCTTATATTCAAATTCAATCCGGAGTATAAATTTGTTGAAGTTTTTAAAACAACTTAATATTGTAACTCTAAAGGTAACTAAAAATCTAAAATATTTATTTTTGTGATTGAGTTCGTTGAGGTACTGAGTGAGGAATATATCTTAAGTATTATCTGTACAATAGTTTGATTTGTTCCCTTATTTTTTTTTTTTTTTTTTTTTTTTTTTTGTTTTTGGTGGTCTAAGGAATTAACTGAAATGGCTCTTCAAATAGTGGAAATATGCTGCAGACGGCTTGCTATGACACAATTGGCGTATCTCGGTATTCTTTGCACTGGTTTTTTGTTGCAATGACAGAACACATTTAATTTGATCTTTCCATAACCTGTGTTTGTGTTTGTATTGTAGAATATGAAGAGAAAATTTCGATGAGTGGTAATTAATTATTGTTGCCTATAAGCTGTTCGATGAAATGCTTAAGAGAGAAATTTTGCCATCTCATAGGAGTTGATGCAGGCATTGTGTAGGAAGAGTCAGGTGACTAAAGCTATGTATTTATTGGATGATGTGCTTAACAAGGGTTTCCTGCCCGATACTTTGAGCTATACTAGTTTGTTGAATAATTTGTGTAGGAAGAAGAAGCTTAAGGAGGCTTATAAGTTGCTATGTAGGTTGAAAGTTAAAGGGTGTAATCCAAATATCATACATTATAGCACGGTTATGTTGGGTTTGTGTAGAGAGGGGCGTGCACACGAGGCCTTCAACATTTTGGATGATATATATTCGAATGGATGTTTGCCAAATTTGGCGTCCTATCGAACATTGGTTGGTTTGGTTGATCAAGGATTGCATGATGAAGTGAAGTACTTGGAGGAAATGATCTCGAAAGGTTGCTTTCCGCATTTTTCAATCACATATTCGTTGATTAAAGGTTTGTGTGATGTTGGTAGGATAGAGGTAGCTTCTGAGGTGCTTGGTGAGTTTCTTAAACATGGGGAAGCACCATATACTGGTACACTATAACACAGTTATGTTGGGTTTGTGTCGAGAGAGGCATGCACACATGCCTGAAAAAGCCCTTAAGATGCTCTTAGAGTGTAATTTTAAGCCGACTTCAAAGCACCTAAATCATGTTCTTAGCTTGCTATCCTAATGGCACAATGGAATTTTCTTATGCCTGCTTTTGGTCCTTTTAGGATTGCAACCAAGTAATCATTGTTGTTGGCCACTTGCCAATATGTACCATGTCTCAGTGGGAGATGAGTATGTATGAATCTGAAAAGCAAGATATCTAATGATAAATTTTAATTCTGAAACTGCTTGAAAAACTCAGTATGTACAAAAACTCTACACGGGATACATAAGCTTGCCTAAACACTATATCAGCTCTTCTATCACCCCTTTCCATGAACAGGTATAATTGGCCTGAAAATCAATGAATTCCCAACAAGAGGGAAAAAGGCTTTACAAAAAAAAAAAAAAAAAATCCTGTACACCTCTTAAAAGACCTAAAGAAGAAATAATTAGGTACAGCAATGAATACATTAAAAAAAAAAAAGCGCTAATCATCTATCCTTTGAATCTCGCCCATCATGATACGGTTGCTAGTAACCTTGAAGCCAAGAAGAGCTGGATCAATCTGCCTTCCTTTTTTCCCCTTCTTCTTCCCACTCTTTCCCTGGGCATCAGCCAATTCTGAGGCACCTGTCACATGAGAATCAGGCTGAGGTGGCTTCTTAGCATTACTCTTTAACATGTCTATGAATGATGTCTCCGAAACATCAGAGTCGCTACAAGAATTAGTTCGTCTGAAACGCATATCCTTCTTGATAGAGGTTTCAGGAGCTTGTGCAGCTGCGTTTTCCCGTCTTCCACCTAAAATGTCTATGTATCAGCATCACAGCATAACTAACAATAAGAAAAAGAAAAACACAGAGATTCTCCATGCAGCGTCTTCAATGTAAACATCTATAACCTGAACGTGTATCCTCCAGAATATAAAATGATCAGCAGGGTATTGATCAAGATCTGGCTTGTAGCAAGAGTAATTAACTGTCTTCACTAGAGAGGAAGACAACAGACAAGTACTCTAATATTTATTCGAACATATCTGCTATGTCCTATAAAGATTGATGTGAATGGATACAGCATATAATTACTCCGTACCCAATAACATTCCTTTAAAAAGTTTGATTTTGGTGTATCTTAGTGATCTATCAATCAAAGATGAGTACCATCCCCAAAGCTTTTTACCAATTGATCTAGTTGACACCCACACATTTCATTAAAATATTTATCCGTTTTATTAGTTTACACACCTTGTAATTTTACACTATTCACACACTCCCCTTTCACTATCTTTTGTGGTTTACAAGCAAGGACAATCAGACTCATGTGAGCTTTTGTTAAATTGGTCTCAATGCATAGTTTCAAGATGTCAACTATATATAAATGTCAGTGATACTTATATGTAATTTATGATATTGATGGTCAACAGTTGCGCTTTTGAGAGGCATAAAAGTCGAATTGTGTAAAAAAAAAGGATAAAAAAAACAATGAAGTATTAAAAAGGCACCTAAGAAGACAATTGCCAAAGTATTCTCACCAACCCCAAAAGGGCAACACTTGTAATTGTTTGTTCTACCCATGCACAACTCCTAAACATCCAACCAAATTCTAGGAAAGATTAATAAAAAGCTTATACTGTGTTTTAGGCCAAAAGAGAATATTAGCAAACATGGAAACCATAGCCACTCAAACAGATCTCCAAGATTCCAATTCATTAACTTAATTAAGTGCAACAGTATACATACCATCAGGATTTCCAATAGATGAGCTCATTCCTTTAGTGGGAGCATCGATTGTTAGACCAGAGATACCCTCCTGAGATGACAAAGGGCGAGATACAGGTGGACGTTTAAACAAGACATTTTCTGAACCTCTGGAAAGAACAGTAGGTATCCTGCATCACAAATACATATTTAAGGGGGAAAAACATTCAACATTAAGTGCTAAAAGGAGTCTAATAGCAAAGAAACAATCAGATTCACTAAATAGCAGAGCAATTACTATCAATAGAATCAAGTCCTCTCTTCTATAACACCATAAACAGACATCAATATTATACAAAAACCCTAAACAGCATATTTCTGGTCCCAAAGATTGCAGACAGAAACACATAAATGGATGTGTGTGTCTCAGGGGAAACAAAGTATTTTCAGAAGAAAATTCAGTCTGGAAATGTTAAGGGGAACTTGTGCAATACAACTCTGAACTTTACTGATCCAATTCAGAGGTTGTATGGGCCCAGGACCATAAAATAATTGCTGCACATACCCTAGAGAATTAGAGATTTTTGTGCTCAAATCAGCACCATGACCTCAAACAGTTCTTCCCTTCAATTTAGATATTCTTATGTAAACATCTATAGTGGGGTAAGCATCACGAAAATCAAACTGCCACCATGATTTTTTCTCAGCTAAACATCAAATGATATCCAAGGGTTGTTAAACCCAAAAACAACGAAATGTGGGCTAGAACTAAGGTTACAAAGAGATAGAAAAGGCAGCATATAGATGGCAATAGTAGATATAAGAGCTAGGGGATAAAAGGAGGGAAATCATGAATCAAGAACGCTAAGAGCATCAAGAGGAAAAGGCAAATCCAGTTGAAAGCTCTTAAGACAAAAGAACAGATGAAGAAAGTCTAATTTCAATTTCTTTTCTCTAATCTCATTTAAATGTACACAGTTTCAGTATGTTTAACATGCCCTTCACTGTAAGATACAAACTAATGCAATAGATTCCATAGTGGTCAACTGCCAACTAAACCACATGGTAACCTAATCAGCAATTTGATTTGTACATTTATCTACCAAAGCACCTGAATATTATCAGCTCTTCTGGTCTCCTCTTAGCTCTTGCCTCGTCATATACAGTTAAAGCAGCAAATTGTACTTCAGAGCAAGACCTTGCTCTGCATACCTTCTCCTATGGCAACAAACTTTGATTATTTAATTTAGGAAAAATTGTGGGTAACTACCATTCACATCTCACTTTCTACAAACAACCACGTATTAAATAATGCTTTAACAACCATCTTTTTAACAAAATTATTTACAAATATTACAATTTGATGATTTCCCCAGGCGCCATTAATAGCCCAAAGACACACTTCCTTCCCTTCCATCCCACACTAATGGGCCTGAATTTCTTAGATTTTACCTCATGTTTTAGGTCTCTAAAACAATCATGATAGTGGTAATGAAGCAAACCAACTTTAAAAAGGATTATTTTCCCTACAAATTATCTAAGATCGTCTCCCTCCTCTTTAAGCAATCACTACCAATGTGTCACCTAAACATCTGAGTTCAGGCCAAGCAGAATTCAGAAGAGAACAACATAATATTCATCAAAGTGACCACACTCACAACATGGATGGCAATCCAACAAAAACACAGACCCAAGCCTGAAACATAGTACATCATGATAGCGATCCTGTTAATCTATTTCCTATCTTCGTCAAAAACAATGTATACATAAAAATCCATTGACTACAATTCCACCAGCATATAACAGTAATAATAACCATTCAGATTCATTACCTATCAACCTCCTCAGTAAAAGAATTAGATCGCCCAATTTTATCATTGTAGAATCCTCCTTGTCCAGCTGCAAGCAACAGAAACCACAATTACTTCCGATTCCGAAAATTTTGGAACCATTAGTAGAAGTAAATCTCAGAAAATTTACCAGCAACCCCAATTGAGCTCTGCCTGTTGATGGAACTGGATGGTATCTCCCTCCCATCCAATGCTGTAACTCCATGCTGCTTTGAAATATTCTCAGGATTCTCCATCATTGAACCCTTCACCATGTCTTCAATTTTGGGAGCCCACTTCTTTCCCTCTACCTCAGAGAATTCACGATCAATATAAGTGTTGCCTCCCATATCAGAATTAGGGTACATCAGCGAAGAACTTCTACTGATTCCAGTGTATATAGCATCTCCATCCATAACTATTCCAGAGTTGGATCGACCAGTCAATCTCCCACTATTGTCAAAACCACCAGCCTGCTCATCAGCTAGTCGGAGCTGAGTTTGTTCAGCTGCCATATTGACAAAGGATGGAACAGCAGCAGGATTGGCTAAACCAACATCACGCTCATGGGCAAGGTTAAACAAATGATCATTAGAGCTAGGCCCAGAAAAAAATGCAGGAGTTCTTCTCTCCAATGGTGGACCTTCATTCAAACTTAGAGGTTGTGTTGGTTGATTGTTAGATTTCTGATGCAGCAGTTCCATGAGCAATCTCTTTGAGTTATCTTCATCAAGTTGTTGCTCCCTCTTCTGGTGTTCAGCATTAAGATGCAGCTGTTGGATATGGGATTCCATCCAATCATTTGACACACGGTTATCACTGTCAGGCCAGCGGCCCTCGCCATCAAAATGAGAAGTATTAAATTCATTAGGAACAAAAGAGTGATGAGGATGATGAGAATGGGTCCCAGAACCTAATGAGCCCAGTTGACCTGCAGAGCGTAAATGATTGTTAGGATCTTGAATATCCAAACCCTGCAGTCGAGCCATAGCATTAGCCATTTCCATGTTAACACCAGGACCTCCACCTTGCAAAGACATTGCACGTTCGTATTGTAATGTCCCAGGGTCATATAACCCTCTTTTCAATCGCTCCTGCATTTGAATGTTCCGTTCTATTTCTCTTAGCTGCTGCTCCTCCTGCTGCGCCCTCTGCTGCTGCTGCTGCTGCAGCATATCTAGAGGGCTAAACGGAGGTGGGCTGAACGCAGCAGAATGAGCTCGTTGAGAGGCCACAGGGTTGCGAAGAAATTGCTCTGCTTCTTCCACAGGCCAAACTGAGCCAATTGATCTTCCCTCCCCCAGTTCCAGTCGCTGCCTGAGGCCCATTGACATCTGCCGAGCCTGTAATTGCTCCTGCTGCAGCAATTGTTGAGACCGAAATTGTTCATGCCGTGTGTGCTGCATCAATTCTAAGAGATCAGCCTGGCGATCATGATGAGTTACTTGGCCTAACTTCGCCTGTATTAGTTGTTCCAAGTAAGGATCATTGTGCCTTGAAGGCTGATGCAAATGGGTTTGGGAATCACGTAGAAGATGCTGCTTCAGCAACATCTGATCCAAGCCTGAACTAGGATCCATATGAGACTGAGCAAAGCCAGGCTCACGACCATGAATAAACTGCTCAAGGATTAGTTGCCTAGCCTGGGACTGCTGCTCCTGCAAAAGAATTTGCTGAAGCTGTTGTTGTTGCTGCTGCTGTGGCTGCAATTGATGACTTTGATGTTGTTGGATCTCCAGCTGCCGTTGTTGGAGCTCCAGCTGCCGCTGTTGCTGGAGAGCCAAGATGTGCTCAACCTCGGACAAAGATTGATTTGACAACTGGTGATGAAGTGATCCTCGGCCAGGGACTTGTTCTAGAGGTGACTCATTCAAGTGATTAAGTTGAGACAAGATATTTCTCTGTTGGATATGCTGCTGCTGAAGTTGTCTCGACATTAACTGCTCAGCTAATTCACGGTGATTGGATTCTTGATCAAGGTGAGAAAAATGTTGGGTCTCCAATGCGTCCCCAAACATGTTTGAATTAGAAATAGGACCTTTATCATAGAAATTAGGCCACGATTCCTCAATATTTTGATCAGAAAGGCCACCAAAAGGAGCATTCCTCCCAGGAGAATGACCCATAAGATGACCAGGCATACCCATGGTAGAGGGCATACTTGAAGGTTGGGCTTGCCTGTTTGAATTACTTTCAAGTTCAGACCACAACAATCCAAAAGGGTGCAGCTTATCATCTTTCTGAACTGGCATGCCAGTTTCTTTTGCTTCATTTGGATGTGTATGATAACCAACATGATTTGTCACAGGCCCATCAGCACTTCTCAAACATCTCCCAACAGGGTTACCGCCACTCCCAGCTGTCCCAGGTCTTCCAGGAAATACAATCTCTGCAGCACAAGCAAAGACATGGTGTTAACATTATAAAGTCACATTCACCAACACACACATGATAAACAGCTAAACACAGAAAGGCGATTCTTAAAACAATACCTTCGTCTTGAGCCGAAGAATCATGGAAACCTTTCCCTTCAGAAAAAGCATGTTGTGCTAAAACATCATGCTCAAACATTCGAGTGTGAGCTGGTTGATTTGAATGATTGTCCAACTCTGACAACCGCCAAGTTTGGTTATTTAAAGCGGACACATCATTCATCTCAGAGGTGGATGTGGACCCTCCAGGATTATCAATCTTAGAACATAAATCTGAATTGATACCAAGCCCTTCTTGAGCATTCAAATGTGGCATTACATCACCCAACTCATGAAAGGGGGCATGTTCTGGAGCATCTGCCAAGCGAACTGGTAAGTCAAGGCCGAAAAATCCTTGTTCAAACCATGAGATGATGTCAACACCAAGAAATGGACCCTGTACCTCTCCCTGAGGATCACGGTAGTATAAGCTTAACTCCTCAGGTGGTACACCATCACTGACACGATTACCATTTCTCTCACTCTGAGCATACAGCAAACTGTTACCCCGACTATCTTCAAGAGATTCTGACAAAAACAATGAGTTGGAATCATCGGGAAGGTTAGAACTAATATCAAAAGTAGCACGGTCAATCTCAGCAGCTTTGAGGGGAGTGATTTGGTAATTTTCATCATCAGTTTGTGCTGCATCAGCAATTTTCGAGACTGCTGACATTGGTCCCTCGGATTCCATGCTCCAGCCTTTCAATTCTACAGCATATTTAGCATTTTTCCCTGAAACATGTAGCAATATTACACTTAGAAATGACATTCAAACAATATTCTTTTGAAAGATACATAAACACAAAGATGAAAGTGAGGATCCTCACCATCAGCCTGACGAGGTTTACCACTTGCTGAATTGTGGAAACTGATAGCCTCCCCAGCAATTGGAGGAGGGGCATCCTGGTCTTCATCAAGAGGATCCATGTTGCCAATACCTGGGAAAAACATATTAATACCATCAGGAAAAGATAGTTCATGCAGTTCCTTTTCCATAACAATAAAAGTGATTGTGAATGAATTACCTGTTGCAACCTCAGAAAACTTGCCCTGTCTGTATGGACTGTTTGAAGCCCCACTGCCAGTAACTTTTCCCTTCCATATATCTTTAAGTAGTGCCTGTTTAAAGCATATAATATCAATAATAGCATCCAGCAGTATGACGTATTCAAGACTCCTAAAAAAACCTATGCATACATTTCTCATGAGAAGGGACTGTTATAATAAACAGCATAGAATAATAACCCATAATTCATTAAAGGATTTAAAAGAAATAAATTATAGTTCTCACCTCTTCCTCAGCATCTGGTGCAACAAAAGCCAATGGCTCAACAGCCTCCCCCTGAGTTAAGGAGGGCACTTCTTCCATGAAATCAGGCTTGGAAAAAGAAGTTCCACTGAGCTTTTGTGAGCGGTAAATGTCAAGAATTTTAGCCCTGGGGTAATGAAACTGCTCTGCCACAAGATTTGGTTTCCCAAGAATGTGCTCATTCTTATCAACTTTGACAGTGCCACTTGTACTTCCCAGTGCAGGCTTCACAATAGGTACACCATTTGACCTCCCTCTTCCAACAGTAAATCCCATGTTAGCACCATCCACCTTTCCTTTATCAGGGCCAAATCCAGGAGCAGCACGGAATGGAGTAGGTGCATTAGAAGAAGGCTCCATTCTATGGCGAGGCCTCCACTTATCACGCGATTCAGCATCCCGATTGCCACTCCCAGTGGATTGACCATCATTATGAGTGTCTTCCTTTTCAATATCTGTTTTCCTCTCTGGTCGTGAATCCTTATCCTTGTCATCAGGACCCCACCTAGAAGACCATTTGCTATCACGCCTTGTTTCATGGGCAGAATTGCGATTGGTCGCATCATGCCAACGCTCAGAAGAGGGTGAGTTTCTTGCCTCTGTATTTTCCCTCACAGAAACATTTTCAGCGCGGCGATCAGTTTTCCTGCGATCCCTTCTACCAAGTAACCCAGTTTCCCTTTCTTCCTCACGCCAACGCCTAGTGCTTTCATTCTCAGCAGCAAGTTTCCTCCAGTCCTTCTTGTCACAATCCTTCTGAGATGGATCCATGGAGTTTCCAAGAGAAAGAGTGTTTGGGCCACGCATATCCTGTTAAGAGTAGATGAAACAACATATTCCTGTTAATAGAAGAAAAGCATCTTTGACTTCAGATCAAACCCCTTAACTAGAGTCTTGTGATCATAGTTGAAATTAATTTGCCATCCAAAAAGGCAAAGAGTATCCACAAAATTTCCAACCAAAATTGACCAAAACTAGTCTTTCCCATAGCAAAGTACTACACCAACAATCAACAGTCTAGCAACTTTTTGATCCCAAACCAGTAAGAATACCCAGTCACTAGGACTAGGCAACGCCAGCCACAAAAGGTTGTAAGATAAGCTCATTGTTAAGGTAAACTTTGTAAACCTACATGACAAAGGTGTATCTTGTTCTCATATAAGTAAAATTAACTTAAGTGCCCAATCAAAGACAAGAAAATAACATTACACCGTCAAAACAACAATACAAGTCAACTTTTAAAAAAATGGATGCAATTAAATTGAGAATAATTTGAGTCATAGGACAGAAACAAATCCACGATTAGCAAAAATCACTTTATCCTGCAATGAAACAAGATGCCTCTGTGACAAAACATAGAGATGCCACAATGCCCTTTTCAAACAAGAAATGAGGAAAACTTGGATCTTTATGATAAACAAAAACCATACCGGCTTAGCATCGCTGGGTTTAGCATAAAGCCATTGCGGGGACAAAGGAATGCTGTTCTCGGACGCTGCTTGATCTGCATGGATTTCAAAAACACTACTTAAAACACGAGGTACGGAAAAAAAAAGAAAAGAAAAAAAAAGAAACAAGAAGCTTGATCGTGAGTAAATTAAATCCAAACCCATCACAACCATGAACTATACCTTTAACCTCATCAAGGAATCCCATAGAGACCTTTTCATCATCATATTCTAGAGAGGCTTCAAGACACATGGTAAGCATATTAGACACGTTAAAACTCATAAAATCTCACAATCACCCGAAAAACAAGCTGGCAAATTTGCTTGGTGTATCAAATATAAAATCATTAACTTCACACAACAATCCCCAATCCCCAACAAACATATAAGCAATCATTACAATATTAGCTAACTTCAAACTGCATTCTACTATCAAATAAATTGAGTTACATATATACTAATTTCAGAAACAAATCAAATACGAGACACTGTCAAGTAAAACAAATCCAGAAATTTCAGGGCTACAAATAGAAATCCACGGAATACACATGCTTACACAAGCAACAGCATTCAGCTAAACAAGCAACTTTTGGAAAAGCAATAAAAAATCAAAAAATAAAAAGCATCGAATCAGATAGATTACAAAAAATAACAAGGATTAAAAATCTGATCCAAAACTATAGCAATGAAACAAAAATCAAAGATAAAAGGAGAAACTCATTGTTCTTCAGATCGATAAGCCCTAATTTGACATATACAATACAAACTCGAAACGAATACAAAAATCACATCTAGAAAACATCGAAAATCAAAATTGACGACGAAAAGAGGGGAATGTTAAGGTTTACCTTTGGGAGTCGGTAAAAGGAGATCATCAGGCAGATCAATCTTACGGTCGGCCATAGTTAGGGATTGAGATCGAAATCGAAAGCTGAGATTCGATAAATTCGAGGCAACAACAAAGAGATTCGAGGAGAAAAATAGGGGAAGAAGATTTGAGAGAACGAACGAAGGAGAAAGATTAGGGTTTGGAAGAGTGTTGAGAGCGTTTGTTTGCAGAGGAGAGAGAAAGAACGAAGAGCGCAAAGGAGGAGAAGAGAGAGAGGACGAGAAAGGGGTGAGGAGCCGAGAGGGGTATGGGTGGTCAGAACGGCCAAATCAAAATCGAAAATATTTTGGTATTGGGAGTATTTTACTTGCTTTGCTAAATCGATAATTTGATTTTGTTGGAGGTTTTTTTAATAAGATTTTCATGATATCATTGTTATTGTTGTTTGTAGTCTAATAGTCATACAATTTTGGACCAATCCACCGCATAAATTTAGCTAGCCCGATTATATCTATCTATCGTTGCTAGTCACTAAGGCTCTATTTGGTGGTAGCGTTTTATGTAGTGATTAGCGTTTTAACTAGTCAAAACACTACTAGAAAAAATCTTAAACTGTTTGGCAAAGTAGTGATTCTAGTAGCAATTAGCGATAGAGGTAACGTTTAGGTAGCTTTTCTCAAACGTTAAAAATAGTAGCGTATAGAAGTAGCGGGTAGCGTTTGACAAATTTTTATTACTTTTTAATCAATATTTATATGAATTTTGATATATTTTAGTATTGCAACCGCTACTTTTGCCAAACACTCATACTATCAACCGTTACCTAACAGCTAACCTCTACCCACTACTAATTGACAGCTACTCCCTACCTTAACAGCTACCCGCTACTCGACCGCTAAAAGCTACTTGCTACCGCTACTTTTGCCAAACAGGACTTAAAGCCCTACAAGGTGGTCATCATCTATTCATCTCCACCTTCTTAGCGTGGAAAGAGTTAATAGATATTTTCATTTTATTTTTAAAACCAGATCATGATGCGCATTATGTTTGCATATTATACTTTTTTGAGAGTGTAAGTATCGTATTCGCTTATGGTAAAATTTCTAAAAGGAGACTTTGACCTTGTTCACTTCACCTTAAAAAAATAATATTAAGTAAAAATAATTTCAGTTCAACAAAAATAAGTTCAGTTCAGCAAAAATAAGTTCAGTTCAGTAAAATTATTTCAGTTCAGTGAAAATAAGTTCAGTTCAGTAAAATTCTATAACTATAAAGAAGAAATATAATAGAAAATCGGTAAAAATAATTTGAGTTCAGCAAAAATAATTTCAGTTCAGTAAAATTAATTTCAGTTCAGTAAGTAATTTAAGTTCAGCAAAAATAATTTCACTTCAATAAAATAAATTTCACTTCAGCAAAAATAGGGTGAAACGAACAGGCCTTGATATGAGATAACGTAACAAAGTAATAACATTTTTGCTCAAAGAACTAGGCATGAGACTTGCGTGCTTATACCATATAATTAACATACTTTTACTACATTATTTTTTTATTTATTTTTTTAATAAGCAAGATTAAGGGTGTGTTCGCCAGTTTTGAGTAGTTTTTGGTAGCTTTTAGTGGTTTGACTTGTTCAAACCATTACTTAATAAAAAAATATGAGTGTTTGGCAATATAATGGTAGCATTAGAGTTTAATGGTTGAATTAGCTTTTGTGAAAATTTAAAGATTGAAGGTAGCGGTAGGAATGTTTCTTCTATGTTTTTAGAATTTTACCTCTAATAGCTAGTCAACAGCTATTTTACCCAACACTCATAGTTAATTATTTACTAGAATAGGTTATGTGTCATGCACGGTAATTATACTACATTTATTCAATAAAAGAAAAACTATTGTATTTAAAATAAAATAGATAAAATACAACTATAACATATTTATTCTCTTCTTATTTTGTATATATAATGAAATGCAATATAACAAAAGAATCAATTAGACAAATGAGTATATTTAAATTACATATTAGACAACCATATAGGTGTTTTAAAAATTCAATGATAAATTAGTGTCAATTTTCTTTTTATTAACCAAATAAGTATTTAAAATTATATATGTTTCGGGTGAAAATAATAGGACCTTCGGCAAGGCCCTTCTCTGGGGCTGAAGACTGATCTCGGTCCAAGTTATGACTGGGCCGAGGGTTTCCTGCACAACAAACACACGTAAACTGGCCTCGGGGGTTGTGCCGAGGAAGGCCCTTCCGATGTCGAAGTCAATATAGTGTTAGAGGGAGAAAGCTATGCAAGAGTATTAATTGCTTGAGGCTTTAACTGAATGAATGTAGAGAGAGACAATTGAAGGCTTTTATACCTTTGCTCAATGGATGAATGGACCTTAGACCAAGTAGGCTTGCCACCTTGAGTGAGCCTTGACTGACTTGGCATTTGTTTGGAGAGTTGAACCTTGCTTTGGGCTTTTGTAATTAAAACATTTGTGGATCGGCCCAATTGTAACGAATTGGACCCAAACAAATTGCTCCCCAGACCCGATTTGGAAGCATGACGGATCGAGTTTTGACTTGCAAAATGGAGGGAAGTAAATGGTTTAATTAGCATTTAAATTTGGTGGTTATTGAGGTAATAACGGTTATTTTTTGAATTAATGGGGAAGTTGGATGGATTAGTGGACAATTAATGAGAGGAGAATGTGAACAGCTGAACATTGAAGTGGAATTAGTGGGGAGTTTAGTGGCACGGATCCTTGAGATTCCCGTTTCTGGAAGGTATTTAAGCCACTCGTCCCACAGTTCTCTTCATTTCCTTTCACGCATTCACACTTGCTTCTCGCTAATCTTTGCTACTAACCCAATTTCCTTTTTCCGCTTATACTCAGCAATCCGAAGTTTTAAGATAGAATTTGTGGTCCCAAATTCAAAGATCAGCAAATTCCGCATTTGACAAAGGTAATTTTCTTCGAAGTTTCTTCGGTTTTCTTTGCTTTTTCAAGTACCCCCCTTTTTTCTGTTTTCTCGCACTTCCACTATTCAAAAATGGCCGGTGACCAGGGAAAGAGGCTTATGGAGGCTGAACCAGCTATTGAGGAAGAGGAGGAAGAGGTGCCGCAATAGATTCCGAGGTGGAATCGCCTTTTGGCAATGATGCCGCTTCTCAGTGGCCAGAACCCTAATGTCAGGGCTGAAGATGCTGGTGCCCCGAGTGGGGTCGCAATTAGGGCAATGCTGATCTCCAGTATGCCCCCTAGGGTCTCGGAGTGCGCTAACACCTCAAGCCGAGGCATGGCCTCGACATCTAGGCCATTGACTCCCGAGGAAAGACAGTGGACTGATGTGGACGAGAATGTGGGCATCATGACAACTGAACCTTATTCATGGTGGGTCAAAAATAACACCAACTATCGCTTCGCTGAACAACTCAAAATATTCTACGGCATAATGGAAAAGGATGGGTACTGGTGTTGAATGCCTACTGCCGAGGACAGTATTCATCGCCCCTCCACCTGGATATATTGAGGTTTATACTCGGCAGCTGCAGTACGGGCTTCGGTTTCCCATCCATTCCTTTGTAATCAAGGTGCTGAATGGGTACAACATATCGTTCTCTCAGCTGACCCCCATCAGTATCTGAAGGATAATGACCTATCTTTGGGTCTGCCTGTTTTACGGGCTTGAGCCGAGTGTGCACTGCTTCCGCTGCATGCACAAGGTGATGCTTAATAAGCAGTCCAACAAATGACATGGCTCTAGTTGGTGGCAAATTGAAGATGAGAGGGGGTTCCTCTTTACCTATCCGAATGATACTTCGGATAAAGACTGGAGAGGCCAATGAATCTGGGTTCGGGCGCTGACAGACGAGGATCATCCAAATTTCTTCGGCGGGCCTCGATACTTGAGGAAGCTCGATCCTAAGCTGTTCAGCATCGGGCCTGATGAGTTTTCTGATGCCGATCTGAAACAGATAGAAGCTCTTCGGCAAGAGCCACATGCCTGGGGCCACAGGCCGAATGGCAAATATGCCTACTATCTTGTTGTCTTGCTGCCACTATATTTTCTAGGAGAATATACTTGTTGTTGTCGGCCTTTGCCGAAAATACCAAGGCCGGTCGAAAACTTTATTATTTTTCATTATTTTTTGCTTTCTGATGCTTATTTCTCACGGCCAAGCTAACCGTTATTCTTTGTTTTTCCAGAGTTGTACGAAGAGAACTCGAGCGTTGATTACGAAGTGCTAGGGATCAGTCAGGAGAGGAACCCGATCATCAACACCCCCAAAATCACTAATTCCAAGGATCGGGCCCTTTCCCTGCACCAGAAGAGGCTTCAGGTGGTCAGCGATGTTGAGTATCAGGCGCAGAGACCTTGGTTTGAGAAGGTCAACCCCTACTTTCTCCACCCAGCCAAAAAGCAAGCAGCTGCAACTATTGCCGTTGAGGCCTTCAGAAGCGGAGCTGGGCCTTCTACTCCTACTGCTGAGTCGAGAGTAAAGGAAGCTAAAGAAGAAGAAGATACCGAAGACGCTCGTCTGTTGAAGACTTTGGTGAGCCTTTGGACTTGTCTGAATTTGCTTCTTCTTTCTTTATTTGTTTGTTGTTTTTTTTTTTGAACTTATGTGACTCTTTGCCCCCTTGTTCTTTCTTTTGTAGTCCGACGAAGAAAAAGAGAACAAAGGAGAGCCATCCGAGCTGCTCAAGTAGAGTCAACTTCGAATGAATCATCTTCAGACGAAGAAATGATTGGTCAAAGGAGGAGAAGAGTCGTTATCAACCTTGGGCAGTTTCAAACTGCCGAGCCTGCTACCAAAAGACCTCGGTTAGGTGAGGACCAACCCGAGGTGATTAAAGAGAAGATTCCTCCTCTTGCCGAGGCTCATGTTGAGGAAGAAGTCCAAACAAAGACTCCTCCAGAGGTTCAAGTGGTCGACATTTCAGATGCAGCTCCTTCCTCTCCTCGGCACGTGGCCGAGGATTTTGCTGGTGAGGTCCAGAAGGAGGCCGAGACCTTGCTTGTTCTCCCTAAGGACAGGGTTATAGTTGAGGACCTTCACGACTTCGGTGCTGAGGATACCGAGGAAGAACAGAGGGCTAAGGAGACTAGGCACACTGATATACCCTCTTCCTCTGCTGCTGGATCCTTCAGGACTTTCCAGTCCGCTGAAATGGGGTTCAAATCTACCCCCCTAGTTTATGTTCCTGCCCATGCTCGGTATATTATGGTGTCCCAGCACAGCTCTGCAATGAATTACTTCGATGACCTCACCAACATGTCAGAGCTAAAGAGGGCCAGGGTTTGGACCATTGGTGCTGTAATTAGGGCCTTCGAGCCATTTGTCAGGGTTCTAGACCCCTTCATGGAAAACCAGAGGATGCTAATGCGGGTAAACCTATCGGCACTTTACCTTCTTCATTTATATTTCAGCTTTCTTCGTTTTCTTTTCTCTTTTTTTTTTGAAAAATCAACGAGTACGTTGTTCAAAAGTCTTGGACTTCAGGAGCAACATTCTCTTGATCCTTAGAATTCTTCTTCTGTTTTTTATTTATTTTGGTTGATCATTGCTCTACCTTTCTGCAGGTCGTTCATAACCACTTTATAACTGTGGAAATGAACGAGGAGTTGAAGACTAAAGTAGGAAAGGCCGAAGAAGCTGAATGCCGAGCTCAGCTTGCTGAGCTAAAGAGCTAGAAAGCAGAAGAAGAATCCGCTGCATGCCGCGCTTAGATGGACGCAATGGCTACTAGCTTTCGCGACTTCTACCAGGAAATGGAACAGTCCATCTTCCCTCGAGGGTCAGGCCTTGATCCAGGAGTTTGGGGCTGTGGATATTCCTAGCTTCAAAGCTCGGATCGAGCGGAAGATGCAGAAGGAAGGTGAGGCTCGGCAGAAGCTGGCCGAGGACTTTAATGAGAGTGCTCGCTGAGGCTGAAGCCAAGCATAGGCAATATGAACTAGAGGATGAGATTCAGCGACTGAGGGGTCAGCTGAAGGCAAAGGATGCAGAACTTTCTAAGGCCGGGCTTAAATTGGAAGGCAAAGATGCCGAACTTTCCAAGGCCTAGGCTGAGCTGAATGGCGTCCGGAGGCAGCTAGAAGTGCAGGCTGAAGGGGTTGCTAGGGCTCAGGCTGATCTTGAGGTTGCCTAGAAGCTGTTGCAAGTCAGAATCTATACCCAAGATCAATACGACGAGGGTTTTAACAATGGCTTCCAGGTAACTCGGCGACTGGCTTTTCATGCTGATCCGAGCATTAACTGGGATGCAGCTGAACAGTGGTCGATGGATCCCAACCATCCGAATCTACACATAGCCCATGATGCTGAGGTTGTTTTCCTCACTCGTCAGGCTGAAGGTGAGGCTCGAGCTGAGAGGGAAGCTGAAGAAGCCAAGAAGAAAAAGCCTTAACCTGCTTCCTTTTCAGCTGGTGCTGGGACTTCTAAGGGCCTAGTTACTCAGCCTAATCCTGCTGATGCTGAAGCATAGGAATTCAGGCAGTCATCCTCAGAGTCATGCAGATCAACTTGCACTTAATTGTTTATCTCTGTTGCATCTGCTTGCCTTGATATTTGCTTCAGCTGGCCTTGTCTTAAGTAGTTATACTTAGTTCGACAGTTGTGTTTTTCGCTTGTGGGCTGCTGTCGATGTAGAATTTCTTTGTGTTTAACTTTGAAACTCTTACTTTTTGATGTGTCTCGGAGATCCGAGCATCTTTGAACTATTAATGAACTGCTTTGCCTTCATTTCTTATGCCTTGCTCTTTTTCTTACCTTGTCTTCTTGCTTTTTTGCAAAAAAATGCTAAGTACTGAGCTTCGGCTCGGAATTGTCTAGCTGAGTGCTTTTTTCCCCCCTTAGAAATATGAAGTTGTGATCTTCAGGTTTTTGAGGTGCTTGCTTCAACTTTTTTGGTATAGCCGAGGCTTTGCCCTAGCAAAAATTTTGTAATAATTCAAATTTTGAAGTTTCTGCTCTTTTCATTTCTCTTCTACTTTATTTTTGAAGGATCTGATTTCGTTGCTCAGTAGTCTTAGACTCCGAGAGAAATATTCTCCTGATCCTTATAATTCATCCAAGGGAATGACCATCCAAAACATAATACCAGGGAACTGATTCATCCGAAGTACATTGCCGTTGGAGGGCGATACTTCGGGGGTGCAATCGTTGTTCCCGGGACTGATTCATCCAAAGTACAATGCCGCTGATAGGCGATACTTCGATGGTGAAATCATTGTTCCTATTTTTTAGGCTATATTTTATTGGATATAACTCATCCGAAGCACAATGCCAGGGAACTGATTCATCCGAAGTACATTGTCGTTGGGGGGAAATACTTCGGGGGTAAAATCATTGTTCCCTGCTTGGCAGGTTTGACGGCAATCCGAAGTACAATGCCTTTGGTGAGCTATACTTCAGACAGTGCCGAAGGGAAACCTCTTTTTTCAAAAAATGTAGAAGATAGAAAAATAGAAACTTGCCAAATTTATAGAAATGGTTGCCCAAGGGCCTTTCATTAATTAAAAAGATGCACTTACATAGATTGTACTTCCCCGAAGGGCTTACACATGATATATCTTAAGTACAAGTTATTTTTCAGCTTAGTTCCATCCAACTGCCAAAGTTGGTACGTTCTTGGCTGAAGTTCATCATAAATTTTATAGGGTCCCTCCCAAGTGGCTGAGAGTTTCCTATGAATGCGGCTTTTTTGCATAGCTGCAGCATTCCGAAGAACCAGATCCCCAATTTTGAGAGGTCTTGCATTGACTCTTCGATTGTAGAATCTGTTGATTCTTTGTTTGTATGCAGCCATTCTGTCTCGGGCCGAATCTTTGACCTCGTCTAGAAAGTCAAGGGATTCTTACATGAGTTGCTAATTTTCTTCGACCAATAAGAGATTTACCCGCAAACTTTCTGTGCCAATTTGCACTAGAAGAACGACCTTGGATCCATACACCAGCTGATCAAAAGGTGAATGTCCCGTAGCCTCTTTTTCAGTTGTCCGAAGTGAACAGAGGGTCCCTGGAAGCTCCTCTATCCACTTGGACTTTTGATCTTCAACTCTCTACTTGAGAGCGTTAAGAATCTGCTTGTTTGTAGCTTCGGCTTGACCATTGCTTTGTGGATGACACACTGCTGAATAGGCCAACTTGATGCCGAACTGATCAGTGTACCACCTTAGCGGAAAATTATCAAATTGCCTCCCGTGATCGAAGACAAGGACCTTCGGAATCCCGAAGCGAGTGATATTATTTTGCCAGATGAATTTCCTGACAGTTTGCTCTGTGATGTTCGCGGCTGCTTCAGCCTTGATCCATTTGCTGAAATAATCAATGCCGACTATCAGCCATCTTTTCAAGTGTGGAGCATCGGGAAATGGCCCCAAGATATCCAGCCCCCATTGCGCAAATGGAAGTGGGTTCAAGATCGGTTGAAGATCTCTGGTTGGCTGATGGATGACCGATGCGAATTTTTGACATTTTTCGCATTTCCTAACCAGCTCCTTAACATCCAAGATCATGGTGGGCCAATAATACCCTGCTCTCAATGCCTTGTGGGCTACAACCCTTCCCCTATTGTAGTTTTCACAGATGCCGAGGTGGATCTCCCGAAGCATGTAGTCAGCGTCTGTGGTCCCACACACTTTAGTAGTGGGGCTGAGGACTTTTTCAGCAGCTCTCCTCTGAAGGCGATGAACCTTAAGCTGATTCTCTTCAGTTTGGAGGCTAAGTTTCTGTCTTCGGGAATTTATCCTCGAAGCTTGTAAGCTAGGATGGGGTCCATCCAGCTCAGCTCGTGTGTGACGCAACAAACCTCAGGTTCTTGGTCCACACTTGTTTCTCGGCGCTCTTGGTCCACACTTATTTCTCTACATATACAGATCGGTTCAGCTCAGTTAGAGTTTAACTTGCAAGTTTGGAGAGTGTGTCGACTTGTGCGTTCTAACCCCTTGGGATCAGCTCGACTTCAAGGGTTCTCAGCTTCACAATAACTGTTTTGATTTTTGCAAGGTAAGCTATCATTGAGGGCTTTTTGGCCTCATATTCACCTCGGATCTGATTTGCGACGAGCTGAGAGTCTGTCTTTAAACATACATGCTCGGCTTCCAATGCTATGCACAACTCTAAAACAGCAATTGCTACTTCATTATTTGAAGCTTTGAATGAGAATTTCAGTGCATATTCAAAGGACTTGCCTTCGAGCGAGGTTATGACTACCCCTACCCTCGAACCATTTATGGTGGAGGATCCATCCGTGAAAATAGTCCAAATTTTCTTTTCCTCGTCCAATGTCTCTTGGTTAGAACACTCGGCGAGGAAGTCCGCTAGGGCTTGAGCCTTGATGGCTGTTCTCGGATGGTAACTGATGCTGAACTCAGTGAGCTCGAAGGCCCACTTTGCTAGCCTACCAGATTTTTCAACTTTGCCGAGGACTTTTTCCAGCGGCTAATCAGTTAGGACCACTATTTGATGGCAGTCAAAGTAGGGCCTCAGCTTCCGAGCGGCTACCACTACTGCATTTGCAACTTTCTCGAGTAGGGGGTAGCGAGTCTCGGCATCCGTCGGAGTGTGACTGACGAATTAGACCGGCTGCTGAATTTTTTCTTCTTCCCTCAGCAAAACCACACTTATAGTGGTCGAGCTAACTGCCACATATAAGTACAAAGTTTCTTCTTCGGCTGGGTGTGCCAGCATCTGGAGTTGAGCTAGATGTTCACGGATTTGCTTAAAGGCTTCTTTTTGCTCATCTTCCTAGATGAGCTCTTTGGTTTTTAGGAGTTTCAGCGCTTTGAAGAAGGATAACCCCTTGAATGAGGCTCTAGAAATGAACCTGGACAGAGCATCCATTCTCCTAGTGAGACGCTGAACGTCTCTCTTTGTTCTCGGCTCGGGAAGGTCAAGCGCTACCTGCACCTTGGCGAGATTGGCATCAATCCTCCTTTTGCTGACCATGAAGCCGAGGAAGTTCTCTGACTACACTCTGAAGACACACTTCTTCGGATTCAGCTTCATTTGGTGTTTCCTTAGGGCGGTGAAGGTCTCGGTCAGGTATGCGACATGGTTTTTGTCCTCTTTACTTTTGACGATTGAATCGTTAACATAGACTTCCATGTTGCGGCCTTTTTGCTCGGCGAAAACCTGGTCAACCAGCCTTTGGTATGTTGCCCCCGCATTTTTCTATCCGAAGGGCATCATTTTGTAATTATACACCCCGACACTCGTAACGAAGGCCGTTTTTGCTCTATCATCGGGATGCATGAAAATCTGATGATATCCCGAGAATGTGTCCATGAAACTAAGCAAGGCATTCCCACTTGTCGAGTCGACTAGCTGATCGATCCTCGGCAAGGGATAAAAATCCTTCGGACAGGCCCTATTTAGGTTCGTGAAGTCAACCCACATCCTTCAGGTGCCATTTGCCTTCTGAACCATCACCACATTGGCCAGCCATTTCGGATACTGATAGGGTTCAATGAAACCTACATCCAGGAGTTTTTTTACTTCGGCTGCGATGTCTCAATTCTTATTTGCGGAGTAATTCCGCTTCTTTTGCTTAACCGGTCGACAAGTGGGGTCGACATTAAGCTTGTGAGAGATGAAGTTCGGGTCAATATCGGCCATGTCTGCTGTCGAGAAAACGAACACATCTTGGTTGTCCCGAAGGAGTTGGATAAGCTTAACACGGACGTTCGGATGGAGTCCGAGCCCGATGCTGACACATTTTCAGGATCTCCTTCGGTCAACTCTATTGACTCAGTCTGCTGGTCCAGCTCCATTGCTTTGGCACTGGACTCTTCACAATCTAGTTTGCTATCAATACCAGCAGGCTTCCCAGACCTCGGCTGGTGCTCTGAGTCTTTCGGCTCAAATGAGGAACCAACTTTTTCTTTCCCCGAAGATTTTTCTTGTGTTTCGGTGCCTTGGGCCGAAGCACTTAAGCCTTTAGGCTTCTTTGTGCATCAGTCCTTTTCTCTTTCTTCCTCATCATCCCTGTCGTCGCGGCGACTTTTGGATAGCTTGAGGTAGTTACATCTTCGGGCCTCCTTTTGGCTGCCCTGAATTATGTCGGAGCGTCCCTCGTTCGAGACATATATCATCATCTGATGGTACGTCGAGATGACTCCTTGGATCTCGTGAATTATGGGTCTCCCTATAATCACGTTATACACTGACGGAACGTCCACGACCAAAAACTAGGCCATGATATTCTGAGTTGCTTGGTCTTTGCCGATGGTGATAGGAAGAGAAATTTTCCCGTCAAGATATGTTGAAGAACCATTGAATCCAGTTAACGGGTAGGGTACTGGAGTCAGGTGCTTGGTCTCCAACTTCATCTGGTTGAATGCCTCCCGAAAGAGGATATACGCACCACTTCCACCGTCGACGAGAGTTCGCCAGACGTTGTGGTTCGCGATGCTCGTAATGATTACCAATGGGTCATCATGGGGTATGCCACCCCTCGGCAGTCTTGTGAACGTGAAGTTCAGCAACGGAGACTGGGGTGCTTGGATGTCAGCATGATTTACTTGATGGGTCAAGCCCCTCAAGTCGCGTTTTATTGCTTTTTGAGAGTATGTTCCTCTAGAAATGACAAGGATGTCAGGATTGTCTTTGCCTTGCAGCTTGTTCTTTTTCTAGGGGAAATCCAGTTCTTGTCGAGAATCTTTCTCGGGTCTTTTCTCTTCGCGGCGGTCCGCGAGATATTTTTCAAGTAACCTTTTCGGACCATATCCTCGATCTAATCCCTCAGCTGGATACAGTCCTCGGTGTGATGTCTAAGATATTCATGGAATTCACACCATTGGTCCTTGTTTTTCTGTCGATGCCACGATGGTAGTGGCCTCGGCTTCTTGTACTTCTGCTCGTCCTTCGTTATGCTATAAATCTTAACACGTGGAAGGGCGAGAGGAGTGTATGATTCGTATCTCCCCATGAATGGGGTTTTTTCTTTCTTCGACTTAGGAGCCAAGGATGGTTCTAAGGCTTTCGCCTTCCCTTTCCTCTAGCCCTGGTTTTCGGACTGCTATCCTTTTGTCTTCCCAACCCCGGATTGAGACTGGGATTTAGTTTTGTTCTATTCTTCAGCCTGGATGTATTTATCCGAGGCATCCAGAGCTTCCTCCAAGGTCTACGGGGGATGCATGACCATGAAGTTAGGAACTTTCCTGCATGCAAGCCGTTTTGCAGTGCGAAAACGGCTAGCCCTTGGTCCAGACTTGTGATTCTGGACGACTCGTTGCTAAAGCGAGTAAAATAGTCTCGGAGGCTCTCGTCCTCCCCTTGCTGCAGACTCATCAGTTCTGCAGTTGTCTTCTCCTGGCGATTCGCCGTTGAAAACTTGCTCTTGAACTTGTTGGAAAACTTGTTGGAAAGGTCTTTCCAATCGGTAATAGAGCCTTCCCTTACTCCCTTGGTGATCCACGCTTGTGCAACACCTTTAAGGGTGGTCGGGAAATATTTGCACCAGGTCGCTTCGGACCTGGGGTTCAGGTACATGTGCCCCTCGTAAGAGGCAATGTGGTCCTTCGGGTCCTAAGTACCATCATAAGTTATGTGTGCCGGAATTTTCACTGTGGGCACATGTTCTTCCAAAATCCAGCTTTGGAAGGGTGAGATGGTGGGAACCATCACAGCATTTCCCTAATGTCTAACCGACGGGACCTCGCTCCTCCCTCTCAAAGAGGTTGAAGTGGTTTTTGTCCTCGGCTGAGACGACTCTAGACAAGGCTCAGTTCCCTCGAGGTAAGTGAGGCGACTATGCACGCTCACCTCCCTTGGGCCAAGACGTTCGTGAACATTTAGGCGAGCAGGCTCTTGCCACGTGGAGGTGGTATTGCTGCTTTTGTAACTTTGGGAGTCCCGAGTTTCGGTATTTTCGAAGAACTGAGGGTTCTTTTTCCTCTCCCGTTCGGTCCTCCAAGTGTCCTCCTCCCATTTATCCCCGATTTCCTTGAAGGATGGAGCTCGTCCACTTTCCTCTTGGCCGATCCTCCTTCTCATGTTTCTTGGCGGAAGAGGTGAGTGGTCACAGGGTGGTGGAAAGTTGCCTCCTTGGGCTTTCATGAGGTCCATGAAGACCACGACAGCACGTGCCACTTCCTCTGTAGAGGGCCCCGTTTGAGGAGTTGTTCTCGGTTGAGACCGAGAATGGAAACTTCGAGGGGACCCTTTGCATTGGACTGAATCGGCCGATATGAGCTAGTCGGTTGGCGAGTATGATGGGATGGTGACCTCTTCGGCGCTACCCTTTCCGGGGAAGAGGGAGCTTTCGAAGAAGAAGAATAAGGTTCTGGTGATGGTGGAATAGGTGGATTCCTTCTCACCGTAATTGGACCTTTCCTCGAAGAGGAAAGATCGTTCTTCTTAGTACTCTTTCCGCTCTTAGTCATTTTTGCTAAGATTGGTTGATTTTTGGCTTGCTTTTGAATGTCACTCCCCACAGATGACGCCAAATTGTTTCGGGTGAAAATAATAGGACCTTCGGCAAGGCCCTTCTCTGGGGCTGAAGACTGATCTCGGTCCAAGTTATGACTGGGCTAAGGGTTTCCTACACAGCAAACACACGTAAACTAGCCTCGGGGGTTGTGCCGAGGAAGGCCCCTCCGATGCCGAAGTCAGTACAGTGTTAGAGAGAGAAAGTTATGAAAGAGTATTAATTGCTTGAGGCTTTTACTTAATGAATGTAGAGAGAGACAATTGTAGGCTTTTATACCTTTGCTCAATGGATGAATGGACCTTAGACCAAGTGGGCTTGCCACCTTGACTGACTTGACATTTGTTTGGAGAGTTGAACCTTGCTTTGGGCTTTTGTAATTAAAACATTTGTGGACCGACCCAATTGTAATGAATTGGACCTAAACAATATATGTATTACATACACCTAATTTGCAGGAATTATAACTCTGATTTAATGATATTTGGTTAATTTTTTTTTCCAAATATATGATAATATATAAAAGTATTGGAGATACAAATAAGAAAAAATTAAATTTTAATTAGTCAAATTTTCTTACATGATTACATGCATAGATAAATTGTTCATAATGTTACGCTATGTTGTTAAACTCCCTTTGTTTTGTTTTTCATTCGTATTAGAATTAGGCGAGAAACCAATTATGGTATTTAAAAAAAAAAAAATCAAAATGTCCGTTTTATTATAATAATACTAATAATAATAATTTTGTGTTGTACGAATTTATTATTTAATAGAGTCATCATTGTAAATATTGATACAAAATTATCTTATTTAAAATATATTAATCAATTAAAGGAATAAAATATATGATGTATTAAAGATGACATACAGAGTAATATTTATTATGATATATTGTCCTATTATTAAAAGATATGGGATATGAAGTAATAGGTATAAAGGAAAATATTTATTATAAAAGATGCCTATAAAAGATTTGGAATAATATTATGATAGTTATATTATACTAAACTTCTCAAAGAATATTTTAGCAAAAAAGGAAAGTCGTGTTTTTGGAAAAAAAAAATTACATCAGGAATTGACACGTGTCATTCCTGATGTTTGTTTTAGTATTATGTTATTGATTGATTTTTACATCTAACAACTAGTTAACAACTACTACTACCATAGTTCACAGTCACCTCTACAACTATATATTGTCGAACAGGGTCTAAGACCAACCTAGTATTGTAAATTATTTGAGGGGATAAGATTTGCAGTATATATAAACCGCCTACTTTAGCCACTACAATTAATTAGATTTATTTTTTTTCTAAATAAAAATGCATTATTTATCGAGTATTATGTAACATTATCTCAAATATCCACAACATTTAAAGACTATATTGGCAAAAATATTCATGAGTTACATACATACACATAGTAATGTTTTAGGTCTATATCGTTCAAGTCAGACATAAGCTCCACTTGGTATTATGGACATAGCATAATCAACCTTAAGCATGCCACAATGTACAATGACTACTTTACTAGTGGTAGTTTAATATATATGTATCAGTTTATGTAATATTTCCTCAGTCTCTACTTATTTGCCTCATAGGTAAAATATGGTTTAACAAAAATTGCAATTGGATAAGGATGTATTATTTGTCGTTTTCACTTTTATGAGTGTATGCAAGTGATCAGGTATAGTAATGAAGACATGTTACTACATTTGGAAAAAAATAATTTTTAAGGGACATAATCAAAATAAAAAATGGGTCAACACAATTAGAAACAGAGGAAATAATTCAAACTTGGCAATGAATGCACACACTAATTTCCGCACAAATTAAATTATTTATAAATATTCCTTAAATACATTGGTTTGTGTTTCTCTTTTCTGTCCTATTTGACAAGCTGTGACCATTGACCAATGTTCTTGTTGCCTTTTATGACACTCTATAAATAGTAAATCTTTAAATTGCTTTAAGAAGAGTATGCTTTGCTCCAAAAATTAATTTTGTATTTCTTTCGTTCATCGTCAATTCGTCATCCACTTCTCCTCTTCTTCCCCATTGAGTGTGTGATTGGTCTAAAAGCAACATCACGAGAGTTTGTGAGCATACGGAAAACTATGGCCGGTGTGACTAGTCTTCGCGTCATCACGGAAAGTTTTTGATGAGTGTACATAGATTTACTTCAATACAATCTATACAATTATTTAGAAGTGGGGACTAATGAGAGGAGAGCAAACCTCAAAATACTACCCTCATAAACATGCCACATCAGTAACTACATGATACCTTATTAAAGGCAAAATTATATTAATTATACTTTTGATAACACTAGGATTGCTAATACCAGGGTTGTTAATGTGCTCGTCGTAGTTAGTCATGTCTAGAGAGTCCTTACAACAATAATGAGAGAAAATATGTAAACAAATATTTTTAGGGGTATAAATGTTCGCACACTATTTTTAAGAATTAAAAAAAAAAGTCAATTAACATTAACGAGGGATTAATGTTTTTTCATCATGGAATAGTTTTGATCACCTTCACCACTTAATCAACAACCAAGTCAACCACCACAAGTCAGTACTATCATCATTTAATTTATCACTTGTTAATTTGTTTTATAAGTACTCGGTACATGTTAAAATTTTGAGTTGTAAAACGTTTCACAATGTTTCAAAAAAAAAACAAATCACTAGTGCCAAAAGGAAATTGAGGACGATTGGTAAATGTAAGTTAAATCCAAGGAGCGTGAAACCTAAAACATGTATGATGATATATAGCAGTTTGAAAAGGAAGTTAAATCCCCACTGAATTGAGTCAAGGTTGGAAGTAAAGGACATATACTCCTGGCCTCCGTGTTTTAATAAGTGTTACACTTTGACCGTCACATAGTTTTAGATAATTTAATTGACTTAAATAAAATAAGAGATAAGTGGGGTAGTTGGAGTATTAAAAAATTGTAAAAGAAAGATAGTGTGGTTAATAATTTATTGAAAAGTAATGAATGTGAGAGAGGGGAAATAATAAAAAATATAATAGTGGGTTTGGGTGGGGATCATGAGAGGAGAGAGATATAGTATTAAAATGTAGCTTTTTGCCAAAAAAAATTTGTGTAACATTTATTAAAACACGACCGTATTTGATAAGTGTAACATTTATTAAAACACGGAGGGAGTATATAACATATTACTAATTTAGATACCAGTATACCACAAAGGTAGGTTAATTGACAACAATATATTAGAAACCCTTCAAAATATATATATATATATATATATATATATATATATATATATATATATATATATATATATATATATATATATATATTAGAAAATTTTCCTCCTAAACCGCTTGCCTAAAAAGTTTCATTATTATTAAATGGAATGTATCTAAAGTGTGTTTTTAATAAAATAATCTAAACTAAGATTTCTATTGTTTCAAAAAAAAAAAAAAAAAAAAAAAACTAAGATTTCTAAAATATTAAAGTGCTCTTTTTAAATATTATATATATTGTTTAAATACTTTTCCTTACAAATTTTTTATCTTGACTTGCATATATGGTGACTTGAATGGAAATTGTTTTTATAATTTTATTAATATTTTAAATTGTAATTAATCAAAAATGGTGCATTACAGCGTTACTATGCATGCATGGGGTTTAACCTAGTCAACTTTAATGTTTAGTCTTTAGCTCTAGCTTGTAGCATCTAGGTTTAGATTAATTATTAGTTTAATTTCAATTCATGGCTTTACTACTAATGATATAAAGAAAGTTATGTCTACGATGGAGGTGATTTCTATCTCCACTCCCTAAATTATCCGATTATGAACTTATCTAATTGTACATAAATTTTAGTTTGTCTTTGCCTTTTTGAGTTAAATGTTAAAGATATCTCAACTTTGATTTATCTTTGAAAATATTTGTTGTTTAATTAGGCTTTCATAGATTAATTACATTATAGAGGCCTTCCCAAAAGGTAGTGCCCCCAACAATAATCTAACATTCCGCTACTATTAACCCAAAGCAATAAGGTGCTAATGATTTATTTACATGTTTGCATGCATCAATATCAATAGAAGATATAAATGACGTCAAAGATTCAAAGATCAAGTCTTACAAAATGATACAAAGTTTAATAACGCAACTTGACACTTGATTATTAGATCATTTTAGCTAGTGTTTTAATTAACAACCCGCATTAAATAAAATATAATTTTAAAATGCAAATATATTGTTGAAATAATTTTTTTAATTTTTAAAAGATTTTTGCATCCTTACCTTGATGAACTTGGTAAAAGTAATATTCCGTACATAACATTAAGTAACAAACAACATCATTCATCAATGAGGAGTGATATTAGAGAGGACTTGACCATGACCATGACTCTCTACAAACTTCCAAAGAACCAGAATGTAGGGAAACTTTCAAAATATAACATCCTAAATTCTTGATTTTAAAAAAAAAAAAAGAAAAAAAGAAAGTCAAGAACCAACCAGTTTGCTTCTTTATATTTGGTCAACTATATATTATCAACAAAATTCCACTCTTATTAAAAAATAAAAGTTAATTAAAAAATTCATGGTATCAAGACTCAAGAGACTATTTATACCCTGATGAATTATTTTCACATCATTCGTTCATTCATTCATTTATTTTTCTCTCTCCTCATCCCAACTAAAAACACCCATCTTCATAAATATTAAGTTTAATTTATTTCAAAATGATAGAAAATAATAATAATAGCTCAAATATAGAAAGTTTAAGGATGCATATAATGACGACTGATGGGGGTATTATAGACAAATCAATAGCTAGTCTTGGAAAAGGCTTCGATTTAACATCAGATTTTCGTCTCAGATATTGCAAAGGAAATCAAAGGATTGTTTTACTCAATGAAGATCAAAAGAAGCAGCTTTTTGTCCCTGGTTTTGGCACTTTAAAACAACCCGTTTCCATTGATATCAAATGTGATAAGGGTGATCATACTCGCCATCAATCCGATATCCTTGACTTCAATCAGGTATATATTACGTACTATTCTCTGTTTCGTATATATATATATTTGTCAAAAGATACATCACTTTGATTTTTTACACGATATATAATCTTACTTTGAGAAAATATTATGAAAATATAATCATCTATGGTAAATAAGTCAAATTCATGTTACAGAATAGAGATTATTGTTAGTTTTTTTTTTACCTATAAAAAAAATATTTGATTGTCGTTGAGGGTTACACACTTTTACTTATCGTCCTAAAGGTAACATTTTGTGTTTAGGGTCAATGTATCATTGTCCGATAACTAGCTAGCTTAGTTTTGTTGAATGTAATTACAGATGTCGGAGTTCTTCAATAGGATATCGGCGATTTCTGGGAAGATCCCATCGGGTTTGTTCAATTCAATGTTCAAGTTTGAAAGTGGTTCATGGGCTAAAAATGCAGCTAATGTAAAGTTACTGGGGCTTGATGGTTACTCTATAGTTTTGTTCGATATGCATATCGATCGTTATCCTTTGCAACTTTCTGATGAAGTCCTCAATGATGTTCCTTCCACTTGGGATCCTCCTGCCATTGCAAGGTTTGAGTTTTTCCGTATTTACTCCCTCTGTTTTCTTAAGTTCTACTCACTTTTCTATTTTGGTGGAACAAATTTTTGGTCTAAGTTAATTATTTTCATTTGATTATCCGTTTAACATAGATGTCCCTATAAAAGAAACATAAGTTTACCATGATTTGCTTGGTTGAGCTTAAATTATTAATCCTCATATTAAGATAGAGAAGCTAATAAAACACGCACTTCCTATTGGAATTGATATTATTATTTTAGTGACGGATAGATTGCAATAAAGTTTATTTTCAATATACGATTATATAAATTAAGTGATGAATGATGATGAAATAATTAGTTGCTCAACTATGATTGAGGGTTTTTTTTTGATGAAAAATGATTATAAGAGGTTGGAATAATAAAATGAGTTGTGACACTAATTAATTTTGAACTAAAAGAGCAATTATATTTTAGTGCACGATGATATTAGCTATTTATGTTACGGATGCAAACTGTCACCATTGTAGCGAATCACTAGGGGCAGAAAATGTATCGAAATCCCTGTATTACAAGGGGCAGAAAATGTATCAAAATCTCCGTAGCAAAGACTTAACTAATGCTTTCACAACTTGATTAATAATTTCTGGTGTGTGTTCCACGAATATGATATTTGCTCAAAGACAAAAAACGATTATAAATTTACAATGTGAAAAGGTTCCTTTGGAAACACGTAGTTAGGGGGCCGAAATCAGCAAGTCTTTTTCATTTTTTAATAGTTTGCGTGGTTAGGGGCTTTACTTAGGGCTGTCAAATTGTAATGTGAAAAAGAAATGGGATTTTTCTAATAATCAGTATATACTGTTAGAAAATTCAATCATCGATCAACCTGAAATAATGAAATACTATGTGTTACAACGTGTACCATGAATTAGCATCTTCAACGACTGATACTATTCTATGGTTTTTAAATTTAAGTATTGCAAAGTAAAATGTAATATAATTAGAATGATAGCGACTTTTTGTATTTTTCAAACCGATTTTACTTTAATTTGGTGATCTTAACATGTTAGTTAGAAGTTGGGAACATTCAAAACAAAAAGAAAAGATAGTTAAACTATGTAACAACGTTATTAGATTATTTATGAGAATTGTCTTTCATGTATAAATGATGCAAGAGATAGGTATATAGGATAATGATGTATAGTGCCATGATTTTTCAAATTGACAAATAATAGTAGTGTATGAATTTAATTGATGATTGACCATAATATATGATGAATATCATCTAGTGAGACTTGTCAGTTTTGAATGCTAATGTAATAATAAAAAAAAAGTGCATATCTTTTAAGAAACGTAATTTAAGATGTGTAACTAGCTATATATAGTAAATATAGTTCACTAAATATTTTGGTTTGACGGTTTTTAATAGAAGGTTAAATACGGCTTTTGGCAGCTTAATTGTAATCGTATATTGTTTGAATGTTTATTAATTACATAAAAACATTATTCAATACCAATAAATAACGCTAAGTAACATGTAGTATTGATCGAAAAGTCATAAACAGCATATGGATTTCTATCATTCTTATTTTAAAAATAACCTAACTGCTTTGACTCTGTGCTAGATTTTGGTCATTTAGCTGTATACATTTGGACATCTGGTGAATAATTGTCAGCCTTTAAAATGTTATTTTCAGTCTGTTTTTGGTAAAAATTAACGCTAACTTTTGACAATTAGTACTCCTGAATTTGTCTTCCTGTCTAAAAGGCCATTCTTATTTTTTTTTTTTCTTTTCAAGATCTGAAATATTATTAAAAAACAAAAGGTAGATAAGATATGAAATATTCAAGGCTTTTAAACACTACGTATATACTATTAATAATCCCTAAAGAAGTACAGAGTATGTAATAATAGATTCTCCAATTTCATAATAAAATAAGTGTGAGACAAAAATAGCTGAAGTGATACGAACAAAAATGATTGGAGTATAGAGTAACATCTAATTATTTGTTCATTTAACTTGCAAGAAGTGTTTAGTCTACAATTAATCAAGATTTTTTTATTTGGTTTGATTAAGAAGTTAAAGTTGACCAACGCGGTTGTATTGGAACAAACTTCACACAACATATATTTTTATTATTTAATACTACCTCCGTTTGTTTTAGTTGACACATTTTGACCTTTAGCATTATTCACACACTCCCTTTTAACCGTGTTTTGTACTTTATACGTAATGAAAAATATAGTCATGTGGGATCTTGTTAGATTCGTCACGATATATATATTTTCAAAATATCAGATTTTCATAATTTTTGCTTATCGGTAATTAAAGTTATGAATGGTTGAAGTTGTGCATTGACAAACGTGACTAAAGAAACGTGTCAACTAAAAAGAAACGAAGGAAGGATATAATTGGAAAGAATAGTCTAGGCAATAATCTGTACTGTATTAAGGAAGACAGAAAGATTCAAGGACTTTTACCAATAAAAATTATTTCATGCTACTTCTTGGCTTGGTCATCTTTTTGGTCTGGTATATTATATTGAAGCTTATAAATACTTCAAGTTAGAAAGGAATATGGTCAATGTAATTGGAGTTCAGTGTATTGACTTTCAATATTTCCAATTTTTGCTTAATGTCAAACTATATATAAAATCAGAATAATGAGGATCACCAAAAAGGATTGACTTGGTCACCATTGAGCTAAATATTTATAATAAACATGTATCATGCTTTTATAATCTGTTACATGTTATACTTGTATATAATAGGGATGGTAAGTCTGTTTAACCCGATATTAATTAGCAAAAAAAAAAAAAAACCCGATCTCCTTATAGGCTTACACGCATAGTAACATTATTTCGGGGTTTTACTTACCAAATAAAAGAGGGGGAAAAAGAAACACATAACATTGGATTGTTTTATTATCAGCGGTTGTTGTGTTACAATCATTAGTGAGAAGAAATTGAACGATGAGACTTGTCATATTAGTTGATGCTGATAATGCAACAACTAACTTCATGAACTAGATTAATGAATTAGTTGAGCCTGTCATGTGCATGAATGCATGATGATGCTTGATGCATATATGTAACATGCCTTTATCTTTGAAATATGACCCAAAAATCTGAATCATATTAAAATCTATTGATATTAAAATCTATTGAATCATTATGTATCGATTGAATAATAATGTATCTATTGATATTAAAATCTGTTGAATCATTATGTATCTATTGATATAAGCCCATGGTTCAATAGATTTCTATATATGTTGAGCTTAGACAACGACGTTGGGTCAGATAGGAAGGTGCCCCCATTACTCACAGTGAGAAACGATTTTGTTTCTCACAGTGGCAGTTTCGTAAATAAAATGTACCACTTTAGTCACGGTGGTACATTTTATTTACGAAATGGATGATAAAATTGTACCACTTTAGTCACGGTGGTACATTTTATTTACGAAAGTGCCACTGTGAGAAACAAAATCGTTTCCACAGTAGGTAACAGAGATTTACTGGTCAGATAGGTTTCGATGGTCAAAATATAAGCCTAAGTAAGAGCTTATTGTAGTTCCCATTTGCAAGCTTATCAATCTTGATAGAGTACCTGCAATCCGGATCAAACCAGAATACAGCGTTGGTCTGCATTAGCCCCAGCTTCGGCAACCAAGCCTGTTGTTCTATGTCCCCCAACGTCACGATAAACTTCAATATCCACCACGACCCCCTTGTCTTTGTCTTGCTTGATGATTTTCTTGTCATGTTCTCTGTCTTGCTTGATGTTTTTCTTGTCATGTATACAATTTCTGATTACCAGATTGAGATTATATAGCCCTTGGCCAAGCCGCCTATCTGATACTGTGTAATTCTATTGATTCTTTTGTTTTTTTTTGGTAAATAATTTTTGGTGATTATAAAATATTCCTACTTGTATAATTAAGAGATAAATATACATGTATAATATGATATATAATTTTATTATTATTTTTAAAAAGAGTATCTCTAGCTCGTTGGATTATTAGTAATTTAACTTGAATAAATATACAAGTATGTATAATATGATACTTCATATATATTTGTGTGAAATTTTGTTGAATTTGTTTCAATAATAATGTCAACTACTCTTTAAAATTGTACAAGCTTAAAAAAAAGTGATATTTATAACCTCAAAGCATGTGTTAAAAACTATGAAAAATAAAATAGAAGGAAACATTGAATAACTATACAGCTCAACATAATTCTATCTTGGAATATTACTATGATGTTCAATTTCCTAAATGCAGTCATATATGAATTAATATGTACGGAAACTATATCAAGATAATACATTTTCCTATACTCCTGATAAATGGTAAGCACCTTCTGTTCATTCTTTTTAGCTCATCAGTCAATAATGTATTGTAATAAACTTTGGCCTTAAGCAGGTTTATTGAAAAGTATGGGACTCATGTCATTGTGGGAATAAGCATTGGTGGGCAGGACATGGTTTTGGTGAAGCAAGATAAAACATCGAAGCTTGAATCATCAGAACTCAGGAAGCACTTGTATGAGCTGGGAGACCAGCTGTTTACAGGCACTTGCCCCATTGCTCCTAAAAACCGCAAAACTAAAGAGCCAAGACGAAAGGTTAACCATTTTCAATCTTTTGCTACTTACTAAAATTACCAATGACTCGTGTTAGTTCTTTTACATCATAATCGATCATGTACTTACAAGATTAGTTAATTTTGATTAACAGGTACCGTCAGCATTCAATATCTATCAGCAGCAGGCAGCTCTTTCTGATAGCCTTTCTGCTATTACCTCAAAAGATGTAAGTAAAGTTTTCCAAGTCATGCATTATATTGATGAGTACTACATACTCCTATTATGCTAAGTTTTTACAGTGGAAAAAGCAACTGTGGCTAAATAATATCACAACAATTTCATAGTGGAAGAGCTCTTTCTATAATAATCAGTTAGTACAAAATTAATTCCAAATTGGTAATTTTCCTGATTGTAACGCATAAAAATCTGGAAGTATACAATAAACATTGGTAGCAATATCCTGACAGTAATCTATCAAAAATGAGCAAGGCAGGTGTGTGCTGCTGGTACTGGTTGAATAGTTGGTGCCTGGTGGTATCAACTTGCTTGAAAGCGCTAGCTTCTCTACCTGTGTTGTTTCGTTCCCAGCAGCTTGTTGCTACTTCATCTCAGAACAATTGTGGCCTCAAGCATGGCTTCCCCTGCTCCTTCTTTCGCATCCCTTCTTTGGTTCTTAGCCTTGTCTCTGACTTATAGGGCATAACTTAATTCAAAATGCAAGTATCTCAAATCATCAATTTTCTATCCTCTTGACAGGAACTTTTGGTCGTACTCACTTAAAAACTTTGTTTGATTTGTCTTGGAACGGAATGACCCTTGCCTCATCCATTGCAGGGTATCAGTGTGATATGTGCGAAAAGAGGGGGTGATCCATCATTCAGCAGCCATATTGAATGGCTTCCAACAGTTCCATTGATGCCTGATGCAATTAACTTTAGCTTTATCCCTATAACTTCGCTACTTAAAAGTGTTTCTGGGAAAGGTTTCCTGTCACATGCTATCAATCTATACCTTCGTTGTAAGTTGATTTCTGAACTGATCACACAGGATTTCTTCTATGTTAAGGGGTCATGAAAAAGTTTCTTAATCAACATATACTTTTATTTTGAATTCAAAGTACCAACGATTTGATGTCTATTGACTCAAATCCTTGGATACTTGGACATAGTAGTAGAAGCAAATGCTTGAAAACGCAATATTAGACAAAAAGACAGGAAAATCATTCTCTTTATCGTAATATACTCAAAAAGACACTTAGGCCTTATTATTTTGATCTAGCAATCCTTTCCTGATTTATTCTGAACTTATATGGTTTAATCTGTGCAGATAAACCCCCAATTGCTGATTTACAGTATTTTCTGGACTTCCAATCAGCCAGGATATGGGCGCCTTTACACAGCGATCTTCCATTAGCCCCAACAACAAATATTTCGCTTCCATCATCTACTCTTCATTTCAACATCATGGGTCCAAAATTGCACGTAAATACATCAAAGGTATTAACTTAATGATCTTGCAGCTAACATTTGCTGCTTAAGAAGATACAATTTTTGTATGACATGTACATTGTGATCATTTCGATTAATGGTATTGAAATTACCAGGTTAATGTTGAGAGCAAACCTGTTACAGAGATGCGATTATACCTTGAGGGCATGAAATGCGACAGGTTAGCCTGAAATTAGCATGTTAATAGTGGACTAATAGGATTGGTAGCTAAGCTTTGGAAACTATATTCATAAAGCTGAAACATTTCAGGTTGGCAATACATCTTGAACATCTATCAAGCATGCCACTAATGCTACAAAACAAAATCGACAGTGGCTTATTTTGGAGAGGATCAGATGAGATAGCAGATGACAGGTATTCTGAACCAGTTCAGAAAAAGTTCTCACACGTATGCACAGCACCGGCTAAGTACGATCCATCCTGGACCAGTGAGCAGGAAAAAGTGGTATTTATTGTCACTGGAGCTCAGCTTTATACTAAAAAGCATGGCTCAAAGCAAGTTCTCCATCTCCGACTTCTATTCTCCAAGGTGTTGAATTTCGAGATAGTTCAGTCAGAGTGGTGTCAAGGTTCATCAGAATCAACATCACAAAAGTTGACGAGGTATAGTAGTCCATCAAGTTCAGGGAGCTTAGAGGCAGAAAAAGAGCAAATGGTAATAGTCGATTCTAGTCTTTATCCCACTGGACCACCAGTTCCTGTTCAAAACCAGAAGTGTCTCCGGTTTGTAGATACTACTCAAACATATAGAGGGCCTCAAGATAATCCCGGTTATTGGATTGCTACTGGTGCTAGGTTAGGTTTGGTGAAGAACAAGATATGTTTGCAGGTAAAGTTTTCGTTGTTAAACATATGCTCATGATTGAGGTATGGCATACACAAGCCATTATTCAGACATTCTAAAATAGTATTCCGTACATATAAATCTACTCCGTATTATTGAAGAAAGAGAGTCAGAAAACAAATCTTCTGCGGCAGATATACAATTAATATGGCAAAGTTCACTTGTACAAAAGATAATTCAAGAGCTTGGAAATACAATTGATTTTTTTAATTGCACACTATTGTATTCTTTTTAGTAAACATTGGCTATTTAAAATTATTGTTAATGGGGTGATTTCCCCTCATAATTTAATTGTTTATTTATATTGATATATTGCAAAAAATAATCTTTAAATCAAATTCTACTTCAAACAATTCACAATAGCACAAAAGAGATTGAACTAAAAACCAAATTCTTTCATTCAATCAAATCATCCACCAAATTTTGTTCATACCACTACCTAACAATCACCCAAATGTGCAAAAACTATCTTAAATCTTGGCAAAAAATTAACTAAACAATTAAAAAGTCATTCCAATAATCTACTTAATAGTTAAACTAGACTAGTATCAACAAAATAGCTTAAATTTGAGTAGTAGCATTACTCTTCTTTTTCTTCTTCCTCAATCTCTCACTCATAGCCTTCTCCAATTGCTCAACTCTCTGAGACAACGAACAGATCAATCGACTTTGAACGACGTTTTTCTGACACAAATCGGCCACCATTGCCACCAATCTCTCATTATCCGCTGCCATTTTCTCCAGCAACTTATCTTTCTTCCTTTTCTCCTCCTCATCACCACCAACGACGAACCAATCCTCCTTCGGGGGCGGCGTTCCCTTCTCTACCACGGCCGAATTGCTCCCATCTTCGCAATCCTCCTTAGCATATCCATGATCATCTTCTTTAGCCGCCTCGACGACGTCCGACTTCTGCTCCTCTGTTTCTCCAGAAACACATTCCCAAGTCTCCTCAGAACCAGTAACAGTCTCAACCTGCATTGCATCAACAGCAACCTCAGATTCCTCCTCCAATTTCTCCGAATCTTCAACTTGCATTTTACTCAAACTCTCAGTAAAATCATCAGCTTCTTCAAGAACTTCCTCAGATTTTTCTAGGGTTTCATCGATTACTCTCGGCGTATTATCAACATTCATCACACTCGAATCATCAAAATTCTCCGTCGCATCCTCAACAACTGCATCAGATTTCTCAACAACTTCGCCATCTTCCTTACAATTATCATCAGCAATTTCATCAATTGCAGAATAAATCAATTCCTGCCACCAAATCGCCTTCCGAATAACCATCTTCCTTAAAACCCTAATTTCATCATTAAACCCTCGAACAGAATCAAGCTTAAACAACAAAACCATCAAACTCTCATTAACCTTCAACCTCTCCATCCTATCCCTCTTAATCGCCGCCATAGTTTCTCTCTCCAGTAGCTTCTTCTCCACGGCATCAACCTCTCCCTTCAGTTCCAGAATCTTCCCGACAGTCTTCCTGACCCGAAACCCGCGAAACACTTTCTGGATCCTGAGTGCAGAATCGGACCTTTTTCTCAAGGAATTCTCGTCGTGAATAGGGATAGAAATCACCTTACGCGGCCGAGACGGCGCCGTTTGAGCGGCGGCGGTTGGACGCATATTCACCGGAATACGGCGGAATTGTGGTGGCGTAGGAGTTTGGTAGTGAATATTGTAGAACGGAGGCTCCATCGTTAATTTTTTTTATTTTTTTTCAAACAGGTGAGATTTTTTTGGTTTGTTTTTGCTGGGTTTTTTGTTTTCCTGAGATATTCCAGGTTTTCTTTGACTTTGTGAGGAAGTGATAACGGGGTTTTTATATGGAAAGGGGAGGGTGAAGGGTGCATGGATTAAGGATAAAAATCTAGGTTAATCTAGGAAATTCTAGAAGATTCGGACGATTTATTTTTGTTTATCATCTAGACTTTTCTAAATAATTAATGCGTTAGCGATATACTATTGATTAACGCAGCACTTAAGAATATGAGTAGGATAGATTAGGAAAATATAATGATAGATTTTTTTAAAAAAAATCCAAGAGTCTAAGAGAAAAAGATATTGTTGATACAACTATTCAAAAAAATAAAAAAAAAATATCGTTGATACAATATGAATATATGATATTATATTTGTTTGTATTTTTAAACAAATATTTTTTTGATACATAAAATTTATAATCTCAAAAAATAATATTTTTATGTTTAATTAATTTAAACTTTAAAATCTTATTCGTCAGTTTTGCTTATGTGACATTTGAATTATTTAATTCTAAAAGAAATTACAAATCTCTTATTTAATTGGTTATAATCAAAAACTCGTGCAATGCACGAATATTAATACATAATATTACTATCTTTTTAATCTTATACAATTAAAGTTCACACATATACAAACAAATTTTTAAATCTTGCAGGTTTCCATTTTGAAAATCAATCATATTGATCGTACCGATTGATAAGTTGCGTAATTAAACCCGCCCGTTTGAATTATAAAATTAACATTCTTGTAATATTAACACTTATGAGTTATGACTGACTTCTTAATTATGATCAATGTTCATCGCATTTAAGACTTTCACGGTATTCAAATTCTAAAATATGCTTCTTTGCCTGCAAAAGTTTTACGTTTAATTGTGTGAAATATTAGATGAGTTCATATAGGATTGAAAAAATATTGGATCTAAAGTGTTGATAAAGTTTATTAGATATGATAAATTTTATTAACGTAAAACTTAATCTTTTAGCCGAATAAATGATGAACATTTTTTTTGCCGGAAAAAGAAAAAGGATAATTTTTAGTTTCAATGATTTTTTCTTATTTTTTTTTATCTAATCCAAAACTGATATTTTTTTTTTATAATTGAACGTTATTTCATATTATTTTTATTAATATTTTTTTGTAAAAAAATATTTTATTATAATCACTTCTCATATTTCATTATTTTTATTTTATCTAATTCATTTTTTTTTTAAAAAAAAAAAATTGTGAACGTGAATTTCATTTTTTAAGTTTAATAGTATTTTTTTTATATATACGAAATAAAATAAATTGTTTCTTTTCTCTTATCTAAAATTTTCAATTTTAAAAGATAATATTTTATTTTTATAATAAATTTAAACCTTTAATTTTAATCCTACGTGACGCTTTAAAATAATAATCCTACATGGCATAATCCTACACGTAACGCTCTAAAATTACTAAAAACTCCCCTTTATATATATATATATATATATATATAATATCAGATAAAAATTAATCAATCCCTTTTGCATGCCCCCGTTTTACAATAATTTTATTGTACATCGAACATTTTGAGAAAAGTGACCCTTTTTCGTATAAAAGTGACCATTTTTTTCACAAAAGTGACCCTTTTTATTCACAAAAGTGACCCCCTTTTTCACAAAAGTGACCCTTTTTTCACAAAAGTGATTTTTTTTTTCTTCACAAAAGTAACCCCTTTTATTCACAAAAGTGACCCCTTTTATTCACAAAAGTGACCCTTTTTTATTCACAAAAGTGGCCTTTTTTTTTTTTTTTTTTTTTTTTTTATAAAAGTGACCCTTTTTTTCAACAAAAGTAACTTTTTTTTTTTTTTTTCACAAAAGTGACCTTTTTTTTACAAAAGTGACATTTTTTTCAACAAAAGTAACCTTTTTTTTTTTTCACAAAAGTGACCTTTTTTTTTACAAAAGTGACATTTTTTTCAACAAAAGTAACCTTTTTTTTTTCACAAAAGTGACCCTTTTTTTTTCACAAAAATGACCATTTTTTTTTTAACAAAAGTAATTAAACTACGTATGCAAAACAGAGTATCAAAATCAACTAAAATAAACACAAAATTAACAATAGTGACCCATATTTATTGAAGTAGGAGAGTGTTTCAGAAGACATGATAAACCGCCTATTATCGGTCGTTGAGAGCTTGAAGATGATGATTGCGAGCTCGTTGAAGGAGATCTACCGCTGAGATCGAAATCATAAGAAGATGAATGAGAATTGATTGAACATGGATGCGGTGTAGAACACACGCTACTCAGTGGACTCGCATACAGCGCAATCGTTGAAACCGCCATTAATGGAGCTCAAAAAACTCAATTGAAACCGAATTTTGAGCTGAAATTCAAAGATTCTTCTACTAATTTTCAGATTTTCGAGCTCAATATATACAATGAAAAGATTGAAATTAGGTAGATCTAAGATGACTAATCAAAAGAAGATTAGTACAAATCTGAAAATATGTCAATGTGATGCAAAGTGAGGCAAAATAAATGCAGGAAAAATAAGAGAGGTAATGGCTACAATATCGCCATTCAATAACTATTATTGTAAACCGGCTTTTTTTGAACTTTTGTGAAAATTAATATGCATTCTACCGTTAGTGTTGCGTATGACCAAGTATGATGAGAGTTTATCATATATTCATGAAATTTCAAGTATTTTCAAATAAAATAAGCTGATAAGATAATGAAAATTAGGTGAATAAACAATACACTAACTCAATTTGTTCATTTGAATAATCCTTCTTCTTCAAAGCTACCTTATCAGTAAACTACTGTCATATTATGCGATTGATTGCATATAAAAATTTATGTTTTATTAAATCAAAATTTAAGATATCATTATATATTTGTAATTTAATGATGTCATATAATAGGGCTTGTGGGTCACAAGCCTTACAATTCACAAGTCCAATGCCCCATTCCATTTGAGGTTGGTCCGCAGGAAGAAGAAGAAGATGGTAATCGGTTTTTGATTGTGGATTGGAGAAAGCAGATGAAGGAGGAAAATGGTGGTGGTGGTCGTTTCTTGTGGTGGCGATTGGTTTCGGCAGTAAAACATGAGGAAGAGGCAAAGTACAAAAATACTATATTTATTATAAAAGCGCGAATCTCTGGACAGTTTTTTTTTATTGTAAAGTTTATTAAGGTTATAAATTTGTATTTGCTGGTAGTTTGTCTTTTCAGTTATCAAACACATTGTCATTAATCACCCCCTAATTTTGGTAAAAAAAAAACAAAATACAACAAATATTTTTAAAGTGCGGCAAAATGTCAAATAATTTTTTGCCTCCCTGAGTTCCCACTTGGTTGTTTAATTAAAGTTAGGCTATATTTTTGTTCATTTCATTTAAGGGTCAAATAAAAAAATAAAATAAGTTCAGATCAACAAAAATAAGTGTACATCTAAATTATCGTTTTAAGTTGATTTTCATTGCTAAATATCTTTGATTTCTTGATGAAACATGTTATGAAAATTGCATATTAAAAATAACATTTTACATTAATACAAATCTAATAAGGCCTCATTCGATACATATTTTTTCTTATGGATTAATGAACATTTAACATTAAAGTTTAGTCAAATCAGACAATCAGATAAAAAAAAAATAAAAAAATTACTTCATCCGTTCCCTTAAATATTGCAAGATCAGAGAGTTTCTTGAAGGATAGATCAGATCATCTTCATTCTTGTTGGAATACTAATGCCAGCCCTCTCCAAAAGTTCTTTTGAAGCTTTCTTTGCTTGTAAAATGATTTCTTTCTGTGACAAGTAGTATAAACCCAAATTTCATAAATAATACTTCCTCTATTCTTTTTTACTTGACCTGTTTATTTATTATGCTTGTCAATGCAAAACTTTAACGATCAATAACTTTAATTTTTCATAAGTAAATATTATAAAAGTTATATATATTATGATAGTACTTATTGAGACGAATTCAAAAAAACCCCACATGAATATATTATGATAGTACTTATTCACAAAAGACGGTCAAAGGAGGAGTGGTGAATAGTGTAAAAGTCAAAGCGGATCAAGTAAAAAAGAACGGAGGAAATACGATCATAATAATAGCGGAAGTATGATCATAATAATAATAAAAAAAAACCACGTTGTTTACAAATAAAACCACCTCATATATCCAGTAAAACATTTTAGAAAGACATGCCAAGAAGCCATTAATCAGGATACTGTAATGCTATAATATTAGTATAGATCATATAACAATAAGACTGATCGATCTAGATCAAAATAAAGTCGACTATGATTAAAGATGAGAAGATTTCAAAGGATCAACAACGGTAAATATAGGCCAAGGTATTTGACAGTGAAGCAGAAGTAACGAAAGGAAATTTCATTTGCAAGGAATGAATGAAAATTGCCATGCGATCAAAGCATCAAGAAGCATGCTCAGAAAGTTTATAATGCATTATTTCACATGATTTGTGACTTGTAAAATCTAGCAGACAATTTCCACAGGCAACTGCATGTCTCTATGTAAAACAGCTTTCAATTAAGAGATTTGACACAAGCACACACACAAAGACAACACGGAAGAGAATGAACAGCAAATAAAAGAATTACCTCGTCCACATTCAAGATCTTCTTGTCCTTCATGATCCACTTTCCATTGCATATAACAGAAATAATATTTTCAGTTCGCATGCTGTACACAAGGCTAGATATGCTGCAAAAAATATAAAAGAATTACTATGTAATGTGGAATTCAAGCCTAAGATGAGGTTCCATCCCAAAAACCAATTGATTGATGGGAGTAGTAATTCCTCAAGCTTATAAGTTGGTAACTATCTCTCCAAGTAGAAAAATTTACAACGTGCAATTCATATGGGGTTTCACAGTTCAACATGTAACGCCTTTTACTACTACACACAATGATACCCCAAGACAGATGCTTACACAAGTATTTCACACTACATTCCATCTTGCATAATACCAATTCTGGCTAGACAGCCTGATGTAGGGATTTACTCGATCTCTCTGCATCTTAGCCTTCATCTCTCCTTCTACTACATTTAGGTGGGTGTATGTGTTGCTGGAGATCTACATGTAGTATAGAAATGCATGTCTAGAAAGGCCCTACAGCTACTAATTTGGAAATCTAATCTTGGTTAATGACAAAAGCACATAGGTCAACAAAATCACTTGATTAAGGATCGCTTATTTCACATTTAATTAAAACTACAGTATCCTGAACAACAGCCAGCATCAATTAAAAATTGTGGTAGCTGTCTAGACTCTTAGAGCCTAAACTAAGACTATGACACCAAAACAACTATTTACATTCTATCATTAGTCGAGAAGTAATGGGGAAAATTGAAAAGTTGAGAGAGAAATATCACTTGCACCATAATAATTATAAGGAAAATTATATCAATTTATTTACCAGTCATGAATTGGAGCCATAGTCCAAGAGCAAGGATCAATAATGACAATGTCAGCCTACAAGTTAGGAGGAAAAAAATATTGATCATTAAAAGCTCCAAAAAGAAACATATATATCAGTGTTATCAACTACTTAAGATAACACAGACTAGACTCTCAAACGGTCAAACCAGCATAAGATGGACACTCCTAAGAAATAATCTATATGTCAGAAATGACTCACCAATTGTGGCTCTACTCCAGTCCCAACAGAGAGGGAGAGAGAATGAGAGGATAGTGGCAAAGAACGTGAAAGCTCAATTCAAGCTCAAAAAGTATAGGGGCACAGGATGGAATATATAAAGCTGTCAAACAAACCTTTTTGCCAACTTCAAGTGATCCTATCTCATTGTCCCATAGCACAGTTTTAGCACCATCTATAGTTGCCATTCTGAAAACAACTTCAGCAGACAGAGCAGTAGGATCTGTCGTTCCAGTTGTAAAAACTTCATGGCCTTTATTTATCAGTGAAGCTAGGTACATTTCATCAACTACACAGGAATCAACAAGGAATTATTTTTTGCCATGAGCATCATGATATTCATTCCGTTCACCATAAAAATTGAAATTAAAAAAATATATAATAAAACTTTAGCCATCAAAATTGAATACTGCTGAGACCAAATAAGAAATAATACAATGCTGCAGAAAAAGATACGTACCTAAGTCATTATATTTCAACAGTAAGAAGTTATAAGTTATATGTTCCTACATAATCCTCTCTGGTTGCAACAATACGTTGCTCTGAAACTAAATTCTGTTAATAAATTAACGACAATTCTAATCAGAAGCAATTCCTAAAATTTTGTCAATTTGTGCGCGATCTTTTGCTTCAACTTGAAATAGGAGCTTTGACTCCTGGCCTTCCATTCCAACAAAATTTCCACCGCCATTTATCGACATAGTATGCTAAAACTCTAAAAGAAGATGCAGCTCAATACTGAGAAAATCTATCTCTAATTTACGAGACGAACAGTTTAAATCCTCAAAACTTTGTCCATTATAAGTAGTGAGTTCTCAATATAATTAATCAACAAATTAAAAATAGGAAAAATCAAGCTTATATAAAGAGGAAATTTATTATTATTATTATTATTATTTTAAATAAAAAAACTATTTATTAGAATTGCATATTACAAAGTACTAAAAGAGGACAAGGTATCTTAGAGTAACTTAAAACCAAATAATTTAGCTTAATATAATCTCCCTATATAATACTTTGGGAGGGTCCCAACCGCCTTAGCCCTAAAAGAAGCTAATAAGGAGTTTATCCCACAACACATCACACGTGATAAACTCGTTATGAAATATCTAGCCACACAGTCCACAAGATAGCCATCATTCTATTTCACCAAAGCAACCTTTTCTCAGCTCCCACCCCCCAAACAAACCATACAAAACGAATCTGTAACCATTTTTGTATATTTAACAGATTACCCATGCTTAATCATACACCACAAAATGTCGTCTCCAAAGGTAAAACACCATAACACTATAAATGAAAAAACTATTCAACCATTCAGGTATACCAATGCTCATCCTATTGTTTGATGGAGCTCCATCCGTTCCAAGAGAGACACAAACTCCAGCATCAATCATTTTCCTAACAGGTGCAAATCCAAGCATCCGCATTGCTGCAGCTGGACAATGAGATACTTTCACCCCAGCCCTTGAGAGATAACCGATCTGTTAGGTGACAAGAAACAGTAGTCACATACTAGCACTATCTGATGTGCACAGTTTTCCCTAGAGAAGAAAGCATGATACTCAAATTCCTGGCAAAGAGGTGAGGTGTTTATCGTTAATTCAGACTCTTAGAGATCTCATCTATACGGATCTACCACAACTTAATGTTTCTATGCAAACAACCTTATTTCAAAGGAATTGAAACATATTTGACAGGGTTATCAAAGGCACTTACACAGTGTAAGCAAATGCAAAGCTTTGGAAGAGCAGCAGTAACTTTAGGCAGCTTTGAACCTCAACATCAGATTAGGTAATGTGAGATGTATCTTAGTAAATAGTAACAAGTTGAATTCAATTTCCAATAAGTGATGAAACAAGTTAACCAAGCAATCCCAGACAACTTTTGCAGCACCTTTACAATCCATAATAAGATTTGGATATGTTCAATAACACTTTATCCCTCTTACAAGTAATTGCAGATAAGAGAAAAGTAAAAAGATGCAAGGAAAGATTACCTCATTATCATTGACCCAAACACAGTGAGCTGCCAGTAGATTACTTTGGAGGAAGTCTATCTTCTTCAAATGAGTCACTGTTCCGTGATCAACTTTTCTTGAGTCAACGACAAATTGATTCTCATATGAAATCTCAGCAATATGCTATTAGAAAATATATATATATACATCAAGATAATCAGAAGATATAGTGACAGAAAAATCAAGCATAAAACAGTTGCCTTTGTTCAAATTATTATTAACAAAACAACAAACTAGTGGAAGGAAATCTGAATTAGTTCAAGTTACTTGCCAGCACTATCAAACAGGATCCTGTTCTCAACAGAAAATCCAAATTTCAAAATGCCCTCTATAGCATGTATGTAGTAGGAAATCTAAAAATAATTTCATCACATGTTTACAGGTTTAGGCTTTTAGACTTGAGATTACAATATAAAGTACCCAAACATGAATTATGGGATATAAAGAACAAGCTTAGGTTGTTGTCCGTCAAAGAGCCAAATTCATTCAAACTACAATTCATCTCAATAACCACATAAGAACAGGGAGGCATGAGATTTAAGGATACAGCAATAGAACTTTCCTAATATCTTTACAGAAGAAAATTTGTACTTTACACAATCGACAATACCTATTTGTAAACTATTTCTTATTTGACAATTTCAAAAAACTGTTCATAGTATAATAGTACAATAATACTCCCTCCGTTAAACACTAGTTTCCACGCGGTGTTTTAGGAGAAATATACTTCGTATATGATATATAGGTTAGGGTGGTTTGCTGGGAAAATTAAATATTAGAATGTGAGATGAGAGAAATGAAAAAGAATGTAAAAGTGGGGACCACGAGGAGAGAGAAATAACTTAAAATGTAGTAGTGGGGACCAAAGGAGAGAGAAATATGATTAAAAATGGTATAATGTTTCCAGAATGAATAATTGTGTCACTTTAAAAAAAAAAAAAAAAAAAAAAAGTGAGGTTTATGGAAAGTGTATCATTTAAATAAAAAGAGAGGGGTTATAATGTAAACAACCCATATTATCATGTTATCGTAAGCAATGAATTTAGAAATAATCAACAACACTAATGAAGATGAAGGACTCCATACACCTTAATAGGACCTGGGTTACCAAGTTTGTTGTACAAATAACTATATCTTGCAGCTCTTCACTACCAACGTAACATAACTTCGAAATAACCACATAGATGAACCAAATTCATCATCAAGACTTTATACACCTAAATGCCTATTGGTAGGCTTGTTATGGTTCCAAACCAATACCCCGGGGGATACCCCACTCATCCATTTCAATTTGGAAAAATTTCCCAAAAAGCGTGGATTATAGCCTTTAGTTTTGGACAATTATTCAACTTTTTTGAACTCGAAAAAGCAGTAGGTCAGGGTGTCATGACTCTCTAGGAGTTCATTTGAGTGGTTGATACCGTTCGGACACCTTTGAAATTGGTTCGGATTTGTGTGTTATAACCTTCAAATTTGAACAAATTTTTACTTTTTCGGACTGGAATGAAAAAAGATCAGAGTTCTTTCCATAGACCTCATGACACCTTAGAAGGCCATTTGGGTGGTTAATCTATTTTTCCATTAAATTGCTCTTTTAAATGTTTACATACACGCCTCTCTTAACTAACTCAAGATCACCATGAGCCTTTATGTGGCTGAATAGGCGACCAATTGTCATATACTATGTTACTCGGACTCTTCTTCTCACCTCGACTACTCATGTCGGACCCTCGACACTCAGACATAGGTAAGACACTTAGACACTTTATTCTAATTCAAAATCATGGAAATTTTTCATAAAATAGCCGAGTCGTACACTACGAAACGTACTCGTGTCAAACATGGGTACCCGAGTCCGAGTAGCATAGGTCATATATGATTCCAAACAACATTATATGACCGTGAGATAGATGCATCCCCTACCATCCCAATAGTTTTGGACATAATGGCCCAAAACCTCCGAAATTGGTTTAAAAGCATGTATAGCCTTTAGTTTTGGCAATTTCCTACTTTTTGAAAGTAAACAAGTTAGGGTGCTTTTCATGGATCCTACGCGAGGCCATTTGGGTGGGTTGGATACATCCGCTTTACTTTTAAACTATCAATTTAACCATTTACATATACACCTCCTTTTATTAATTCAAGGCCACCACGGGCCTTCATGTGACCAATAAATGGCCGTATATGGTTCAAAAAAGCATTATATGACCCTGAAATACATCCCCTATGATTACGAGAGTTTTCGACAATGGGTCTTATAACCTCCGAAATTGGTCTAATACCGTGTATATAGTCTTTAAATTTGGCTAGAACGTTTTTAGACCCAATAAGTTTATGCATCAAAGTTATTCTTGGGGTTCCAAGAGTACACGTTGAGGCCTACTTGATGTCTAAAGCCATTTCATTTATGTCTTAGCCCACCCTATGCAATCATGTCTAATGATACCTTTAGGACTTCCTAGGCCTTACACACTGCCTTGCCTTCCTAAACCTTGCACTACCTTGCTTTGGCCATAAGGCAAGCCAAGACACTAACCTCCATTGCCAAAAAGGCAAAAATTAGGTGTTTTTTAAGGATAGGGTGTTTTTATGCCTTATCCTTACGCGCATGTCTCGTGCCCTTGCCCATGCCTCATGCCTATAACATGGTCGTGCCTTTGGCTTGGAAGCACCATCCAATGCCCCACACTAAGGCGTAATGCCTTGGCTAATCCCATCCTTAGCATTTTTTAGCACCAAAGTGCAAGGGCGGTGCCGAGGGAGTACAACTTGGGCAACCACACAAGACCCCCAAAAAATAGGGGCCCTAAAATTAGATATATACTCCCTCCGTCCCATAATACTTGACACAGTTACCATCTTCATCCGTCCCAAAATACTTGACACGTTACTAAATATGGAATGGGACCACTAATAAAAAAAATATATTTTCTTATACTCTCTTTGGGACCACAAACCCCAAAACTCAATTAAATCCTACATTTTCTCTCTCCTTACTACCCCCACTTTTTGTTTTCTTACAATATAAAACATACAAAAGAGAATTCTTTATATAATAAACAAATGTTTCTAATGGACCCACTTGTAGTTTTGTTAAACTACGTGTCCATCCAACATCCGAAGTATTATGGGACATAGGGAGTACTTATTAAGCTGTGTATTGTAATGCAAGAATGCTTGTGGTTTAGCGGTATGATACAACAGGTTTTATAGATAAGGTGCGGAGTTCGAAACCTATTGAATGCATTTTTTTTTTTATTTGTTAGCTAGCTTCTCTTTTCAAGACTCCAACTTTCCTCTTTATTTTCTTTCTCGCTCCTCTACTTAGTATATGGCTCTTTGTATTGAATATTCCTAATTTCTTCTTTTTTTCTTTTTTTTTTCTTTTTTTTTTTTTTTTTTTTTTTTTTGTTAAAGGTAATCCTAAATTCCTAATTCTTATATTTCTACTTCATAGTTTTAATTTTTGCAAATTCAAGAACTCTAAACAAGTAATTCCTTGTTTCTTGGTAAGTTATGCAAATTAATTTTATAGGTACATATAAGCATTAAATTTTTAAAATGGTACTTCGTACTTCGTATAGGTACATATGTGTGGCCTTTAAGTGCTACATATAAGCATTAAATTTTTAAAATGGTACTCCGTACTTCGTATAAATTTAAGAATTCTTGACAAAAATTTGTGGATCGATAAAATTAAAGTATACTTATTCCTATAATATACAAGTAATTTTTTAAGCTTCTTGCCTTCTTATATGTAGTCCTAATAGCCAATATGACTATGGTTATTATTTTCTTATTTTTTAAGTCTTTTATTGTTGTTAGGAGTAATCTTTATTTTTACGATTAATTATAAAAAGGCCCAATTTTATATCATCGCACAGGGCCCCAAATTTCTTTGCCACGCCCCTGCCAAAGTGCATCATTACCTTCTACAAAATAAAAGTTGTACTTTACACAATCGATAATACCTATTTTAAAACTATCTAATATTATGGTAATTTTAATTATTTTGGTAAGAAAGCATAACAATATTAAGATATGAGACAAAAAGAGTTATATCTTAAGAGAAACGAGAAAAGGGTGCAACGAACTGAATGGAATAGTACCATGTGAATTCCAGTGTTCAATTCCCTAGCCAGATCCCGGGTCTCCAAGAGCAAGCGATCAGTTGAGTTCAAAATTTGTCGAATTCCAAGCCATACCCTGATCCGTCCCTCAGCAGTATCATGGTGCTTCTCATAGAGTTCTTTCTGAGACTGAGACCTTAAACAAAAACATTAAATTTGGTGCATCTGACTGGATAATCTATCTCGAAGTTGTGCTAGTAGGCCAACCTGAATACATTGATCAGTAGTTTGAGAACTCCACAAATCTGGCAGACCCTCACCAAAATCCATAATTGATTTAGTTAAACATGCACGCAAGCCAAGCAACTCTACTGCTTTAGCCATTCCAGAGACATACTGGCCCCCTGCTTCTGCAAAACAAGTCACCTGGTTCCAGAAAACAATCAGACCCTTCAGGATGTTTGCACAGTCTAAGAAAATGAAAATAAAAACATTTGAACTATGGCAAAGAGTATGCTAGCACCTGAGTTTATAATTTTTCTTTTATGCAGAATTCAGCAATCATGAACTCAAGCAAAATACAATATGGAGGGCAGTGCATGATTAATAGAAGTCTCAAAGTAACTTCTTATTTAAGAAATAATTCCAAGCTAACACATCACCCCCTATCCCAACTCTATAAGATTTACAAATGAATGTTGCATCATACATACCCATCTAGCATGGTAGATAGGTAGGGCATAAAACACAGCTAAACATCAATCTTTCCCAAAGAATGAAATGAAAGATATTAACTGGACTATATCCCATTAATACTTTATAGCTTAAAGGCAAGCATACCCATTAATTCAATTTGTGTTACATTGAACCCTCCCATGGCCAACATAAAAGAGAAGAGTTTTACTACGTATAAACCCAAGTAACAATTGGCAAAATTTAAAAGTAACTTACCAGACGCATATATCCACTTTCCATTTCTTAAGGAATACGGAGTACATGGTAACTCACACATGGATTTCACAACTCAAGTATAAATATTGACAATATAGTTGGGGCGGGCTACTCTCCTTATTCCCAATCAACTTTACCCCAATTGGATTAATATGTGATCACAATCTCCTTTATCAAAGGCTAATATGAAAGGTCAAAGAATAAAAAAATTATGGAGTAAATCTCAAACGACTACTTTGCATTACAAGGACAACAAAAGATTATATATTCACTAACTTTGTGTGTATATTATATATGTGCTCATGATACACTATTGTTTGAATTTGGAGAGTAGTTTATCAGCATCTAATTTCTTGTCAAGTAAGAGATATTCGTTGCCCATCAAAATAAAGGAAACTAAAGATATATTCTTTTCTATCACTCGATGCAAGGTTGCGTACATATGACCCTCCCATTTCCCTCCCCCTAACCTACATAGTACCTACTATGGGAGCCTCTTTGCAGGTATTATGGTAAATCCTCAGTGTCAAATGTTCATGTCTTCTTTAATAAAAGTTAGTATAAGGGCCGATAAATTACAATAAGGGCTACCTGAGTTCAATTCACAACTAAAATAAATCCGGATAAATTTCGAAAAGTTAAGATATAAGCTTCATATAAACCTTAGTATAAGCGAAAACTAGAATTGAAGTAAATACGAGCATTGTAGAGACGTACCCCAGAGTGAATGAGCTCAATTCCACAAAGCAAAGTAGAAATGAATGAATCTTCCTCAGTCATATGAGACTCATAAGGCCAAATTCGACCGTGCAACCAAGTAATCAAATCAACATCATCTGCAATCCCTCTTCCTAGCTGCTGCGATGTATGAACATGCGTGTTCACAAACCCTAATTATCAATCAATCATCACTTTTCATTAACATACTAACAAATAAAACCCTAAATTGAGAAAGTTCCCAAACACATTCAAAATAATTGGTCAGAGGAGAGAGAAAGATGAGAATAACAACCCGGGAGAACGAATTGGCCGTTCAGGTCGTGGAGAGTGACGTCGGAAGCACGGTGGCGGCGGAGAATATTGTCGGATTTTCCGATGTCGGTGATTTTATCGCCGTCGAAGACAATGGCGCCATTTTCGAAAACTCGGAGCTCGGAATCCATGGTTACGATCAATGCGTTGTGAAGAATGGTGATCTTCGTTGTTGACTCCATTGTTGAGTTGAGTGTGTTTTTGAGTTTCTTTGGGTTTTTAAGTGGGATAGCAAATTTTTAGCTGAAAACTAAGCTTTATTACAAATTAATCATACTTTAATTTTTGGCGGTAGAAATTTTTATTCTTTTTGTAAGGAATGATTGAAGATGAAATGGGCTTGTTGAGCTCCTACTCGTGGAAGGCTGGGCCTTTGATTTTTGTTAATATGTAAGATCGGACGTTTTTCCAAACTAAGCTAATTTTGGGAAATATTCACCAAAATGGTTGCGTGGCAAAAGTATTTACCAAACTAAGCTTCCAAGCTAAAACGCTGTCTCGGTCAGCGTTTTATGCCTGGTTTTTAAAAATAAAAAAAATCAACTTAAAAACGTTGTCCCAGACAGCGTTTTTAAGTGTTGACTTTTTTTTTTTTTAAGTTTCTTTGTTATTTCAGCAATTGTAAATATTTTTAAAATATAAAAGACATAAAACGTTGTCTGGGACAGCGTTTTATGTACAAAGTTTGTTGCACCTAAAACGTTGTCTCAGACAGCGTCTTATGTTCAACATAAAACGCTGTTTGGGACAACGTTTCTCTGCTGGTCTGCAATACACCAGCAGATTCAGCCTTTTGCCACTTTCTTCAGCCCCCACCCCCTGCCATGATTTAGCCACCACAGTCCACCACCACCCACACCACCAACCCCCACCGTCGACCACCATCTTCCACCACTTTTGACCTCCAACAACACTTCAACCACCTCCACCACCAACCCCAACCATTCAACAACCGTCGATAACCACCCACCACAACCAACAACACTAAAACCACCATGAACAACCACATTAACCACCACGGGCCATCCTTTCTTCCCCATTTTCGACTATGGATTCCAAATATCTGTTGTTTAATATACATTAGCCCAAAAGGATCTATTTTGACTGACATAAATCCGATTTGGATACATAAGCAAACAAAACTTCAAAACACAAACAGGTTCATTCAACCAGCATGTCTTATATTAATAATGCAATCGTTATATACAGCATTTCAGGAAATGTTTGTGTAGAACAAAAAAATGATACAATACTATCACTACTCATCAATTTGGTCTAACCCTTCCCTAGCCTCAATGTCTTCCCTTCGTCTTGGACGACGCCGACTGTAATGGTGAATGGTGGTGAATGGGTTCCGGGGCGGTGGGGGAGTGAGCTGGCTGGACGATGCGTCCTCCTGGGTTCTGGTGGGTGCAGAACTGTGGAAGATGTACTCCTCTGCCTCTGTGTGCGACGTAGGATCACCTCCACCGCTAGTCTGGCCGGGGTCGAACCGCGAATGGACGGAGTGACCATCATCACCGTCCCGCTGTTGGATGAGATAACCATGACCATGTCTGTGTAAGGAAGTCACGGACATATCTCGCATCCGCTCGACCTGGGCTCTGGTGGGTCCGTCTGTAAGGGCGAGGGACAGTGCATCATACATCGCCACCATATCCGTCGCCTGCAGTAATCATCGATCAGTCAGTTACATGATATTAAAAAAAATTAAAAAATGAGGATGATAAGTGGGGTAAAAGAAACTCACATATCCGCTAATGACGTCATATGCTGGATGGTAATGTGTGGACGGTGGTGTGTAGCTGGGGTTGATGAAACGGCGTGTGATAAGCCTGTACCACACCATGTACGGATCGTCATGATCCATAACGCCCTGCATGGGATAACCCTGAATGACATGACCCAACCGCTGCTCCCATAGTTGAAGATACTGCCAATGCTCTAGTGCCCAGTTTGTCTCCGTCTTTCCCCGACGGTCAATGTCGTGAAGGCGCATGACAGTGTCACAATGTTGGGGAATAGGCCGGTGTAGTCCGAATTGTCGCATGACGCGGTTAGGTATGTGACTCTCCACAACCTCGAAACAGATCAGGGGGACCTTGGAACGCCACTCTCCCTGATGCTCCAGTAGATGTGCAGGCATGACATCTACCAACTCCAGTACATACGGATCCCATGTAATCTGCAATAACATATCCTAAATAAGTTAGTCCACAATCAGTATACACAGTACATAAATGATTACAAATGTCCTCAGAGTTTGTACCTGATCCTCAGTAAGTCGATCAAGGGCGTCTTGGTAGTATGGGAGACCCGTCGCCGCATGTGCCTATGTGAGTCAAGGGACCATCCACCTGTGGCAAAAAATTTGGTATGTATGTTTGCAAAATGAAACCGTATATGGGGAAAAATGACAATTGTTACCAACCTGCAACCGTAAGCCTCATTAGCTGCAGGGCGAGGCGGAGCGATGTACGGCTCATACTGGTCATCCTGATCCTGCTGCCCCGGACGATGTACAGCAGGCCTACCTAGTCTTCCTACGTGGATGTGCTCCCAAGCCCATAGCTTCAATAGCAAAACACAAAACTATGTTAAATATGACATTAGTCATTGCATAATTGGCTTGTGATAATGTACGTTGTATTCCTGAAGCACAAACAGAGGTCCACCAATCTCGAGCGCACCACTCCGTGAGGCTCTGCAAAGCTGGCGATACAACACCACCAAAGAGGCACTACCCCAGCTGTATCCACAGATATGCTCCCAGTCGTGGTCTAACAACTGTAGGTAAATAAGCTGCAAGTGGCTCCCACTCTTGTTCCCGAACAACACGCCGGATATGAGGAAGAACAAGTACGCTCGAGCGTGTCTCTGTACTGTGGCGTCATCGGCGTCCGCAAACAAGGCCTGGAAAGTATCTCGTAACCAGACAGTCCTCAAGCCGGAGCCCCTAACATCGTTGGGACCCGGCTGCACCCCGAGAACCCGCACAACCAATCCAACGGGATCGACTATCGCAGATCCCGTCACCGCAGTCCCCTGTACTGGAAGGCGCGTCAGTATTGCCACGTCCCGCAATGTCACAGTCGCCTCCCCAACTGGTAGATGGAAGGAGTGCGTCTCCTGCCTCCATCTCTCCACTAGCGCCGTGACAAGTTGTCGGTCGATCTCTCTGAATCCCAAGCGATGTACACCGCCAAAGCCAGCGTACGTCACGTACTCAAGGCAGCGATCATGGACAACCCAGGGGGTCCTATAGTGCCTGCACTGTACTGGCTTCGCTACGTCACCCTGAAAAAACACAGGGGCATTTTTAAGTAACAAAAGATAGTACATCAAAGAATCCAACAAAGTATCAGATGACATATTACCGTCAGGTTCCATATGTCAACGCTCCGATGGGTGTCCTGTAGTGTCAGGATAGGAGGGTCAACAGGTCCGGGTGTCCTATCCCGTACGTCCATGATATTTGTTCATTGAAAATGTTACACACCAAACACCAACACAATATATTGAATACTAACTTCAATTGAAAGGCATAAACAGAAAATTTCGAACATCCAACGTACAAAATAAAATTCATCCAAATGAACACAATAATACATAATGTAGAAAATTATAACTGTTTCATCAAAATAACACCACTACATACTACTATATCAAATAACACATATACACTTAGGTCCTATGTTGGTCTAGATGGACAAGTAGTGCGGTTGTGACCTTGTTGGTGACAACGGCTGCATTTGGTTGGGGGCCGGTTGCTGTCATCCATCTCATTGCGTATACGCTTCAACCTTGGACGACCTTTTCCACATATCATTGTGCCATCCGAAATGAGTTTAGGGCCTACGTACTGTGCCCACTGTGCCCAGGTTGTCTCGCAGGGGATAGGCCAAAACTGTGGTGCATAGGTGTTCATGTAGGCGGCCGACTGCAACAGAGAGTCCACCCAAGGCCGCTCTGATAGTGAGTATGTAGCACAGACTGCTAGCAAATGAGAACATGGGAGGTGGAATATCTTCGGTTTGTTGCACGTACACGTTCTCAACTGCCAGTTCACCGTATGCTTGTGGCCTCCTTTACTACTAACTCCCTCTCCCCTCTCTGTTGTCACTTGTTAAATATTAAATCGGCGGTTATAGGCATCCACTCTATGATATATGGCTTTAGCGGTGTTCTTCTCCACGATGGCAGTGACCTTTGGGGGGTATGGAAGTCCCTGATCAGACGTAGCCTCGGAAGACTCCCTTCTCAAAGTGAAATACTTGTTAACTCTGTGGAAGGTTAACTCGACAAGGGACATAATCGGTAGAAACCAAGCTCCCTTCAGCACATTGTTGAATGTCTCCGAGAAGTTAGTAGTACATATACTATACCTGCGACCATTGTCGTGAAACAGAGACCACATAGGGAACGAGACTTGAGCAATGTACTCGATGGCCTTGGTACAGGCCTCACCAATGAAACACATATTAGCTTGAAGTTTTCTTTCTTGCCTTTGGTACGCAGCAGCCTTGAACATGTCTCTCATGTCGTTACTTCGCACGTGAGTCTTCAAGTTAGAAGCTATGTGGCGGACACAAAATCTGTGATACGCTCGGGGATGGGTGAATCCAACATTAGGATCATTCATTGTTGCAATGATCCTAGGATGCCGATCAAAAATAACACAGAGGCCATCCCGTTGCGTGACACGATCTCGAATACAACCTAGGAACCAAGCCCAGCTGGAAGTGTTTTCCCCTTCAACCACCGCAAATGCAATAGGAAATACTTGGAAGCTTGCATCAACACTCATAGCAACCAACAGTGTTCCTTCATACTTCCCGTACAAGTGCGTCCCATCGATACAGATAACATGCATACAATGTTTAAAGCCATCGATACAAGGACCAAAGGCCCAAAACACTCATTCAAACACTTCCATGTTGCTGTAGTATACACCATCCACTAAAGCTTTGTGTTTCCATACGACACATGTTCCCGGGTTTGACCGTAGGAGTGCTTGCATGAAGTGGGGAAGTCTGCCGTATGAACTCTCCCAATCCCCAAATATCTCAGCTATAGCTTTCTCCTTGGCATACCACGCTCGTCGATACGGGATATTGAAATGAAATTTCTTCAAGATCAGTTCCTGTATGAATTCCATTTTCAACGAGGGATCTTTCCGCACAAAGGACTTCACATACTCGGCTATTACGGACGAATCCAAGTGTGGGTGATCAGTAGATAGTACTTCAGTGACACATGTCTCTCGGTGCGGGCCTTGTACGTGACTATGGTAAAACCACGCGAGTGCTCACTCGATTTAGTACCCCGTAGCATCCAACCACATTTCTTCTTGCATCGCAGATGTAGGACACCATCATTCGAGGTCACTGTGGTGCAGAATTGATTCCTCTGAATAGAATACATCTTCACCATTTCTTGAAGTAGTTTCTTGCTCTCAAAATACATTCCCTTCTCAAATTCTCCCCCGGGAACAAAAGAGGTGTGGCTACCCGATTCGGCCCAATACTGGTCAACTTCATAGTTCTCGGGTACCTCACTGAACCAAGGTATGGGAGTTCTAACCAACGGCTCACCATCTTCCATCTGTGCAGGTTCATCATCCTCCTCTCCGTTCTCGTCCTCGTCATCCATTTCCGCATACACATCATACATCGACAATTCATTATTCACAACATCATCAAAATGATTTGGCTCTTCTCAAAACGGTGATGCCTGATCACCTTGCATAGGAGAATAGCTATGCAATTGCATCGGTGAAGATGCCACGGTGTTCTATGACGACGGACCAGGCTGGCCGAACACTGTCACACATCCCCCCGCATGTACTGGTGAAGCTATACGAGAACTAAAAGGCAAGTGAAATTGGTCGTCCTGCATCATTCGAGTGAAAGATCCCATCCCATATGCATTCGATGGAATGTGGTTTGCGGGCTCTTGGAAGGACGCGGTGTTGTAATCAGAGACATATGTAGCTTGTTGTTCTGCCCGAGTACTTTGTTGGGTACATATAGGCCCTGTTTCTACATATATCTCATTGGGAAAACCCTTCATTCCAACCATGCTCCTCAAACCTTTCAAATGTCTGTTCGTAGAGACAGGTAACACTTGAACCCCATGACCAGTATCACACCTCATTTTAAGGTTCAGTTCAATAGTCATTGGGTTTGAGCCAATACAACTGTGAACCTCATTCATCAGATCACTCACAGTCATGTTCGGTTCAAGTGTTATAAGTTCCATATTTCCTCCACTGTACTCAACATTTGATCCATTACACAAAATTTCACCTCCCCACCGACATAACAACGCTACATTTTGTCCAGCCATATTCTACATAACCAAAACACATATTAACATAATTGAAATTTATAGCGAGGTCAAAAAAGTTGCCCACAAACTAGGCATTAACTCCATTTATAAACTCTTAGTTTAGGATGCAACGCAAAACGATTACTAACAAACTACTATTTTAAACAATAAACTAATATGAAATGGTAGATAAATTATCAATAATGAAATAATCGTCTTCTTACCAATAATCTATAATTATCAACAATTATATTTCACATAATACCATCACTAATTTTAACTATTCACAAATAAGTACCACATTACAATCAACAATTTGATGAACAATTTCATCAACAATGTACTACATTACTATCAACAATTTCAACAATTTCATAAACAATTTCATCAACAATTTCAACTATTTCAACAGTTTCATGAACAATTTCATCAACAAAGTACTACATTGCCATACAAAATTATCAAAAAATTTCCACATTTTCATAAATAATTAGCAAGAATCTTATACAATCTCAACAACTAATAGCAATTGTCAACATTACAATAGTTTGAACTTAGGGTTTACTAGGATTTTGAGTGGGTGAGTGAGGGAAATAGGGACAGCAGCAACACCGTCTCGCGGCAGCAGCACCGACGTCCGGTAGCAGTAAATGTGGATGAGTGAGGGAAATAGGGACGGCAGCGGCGCTTCGAGGCCGGTGGTTCACCGTGGTGGGGCATTGACGCTTCTACGAAGGAGTGAGAGTGAGAGTGAGTGAGAGTGAGAATGAGAGTAAGAACAGAACCTGCGAACACAAAAATAAAAAAAACGCAAAAGACGCTGACTGAGACAGCGTTTCATTTAAAGGAAAAAAAAAAAGCCAAAAACGCTGTCTCAGTCAGCGTTTATGTGTGTTTTTTTTTTTTTAACTTTATTAAAAACTCACAATTAACAGACAGCGTTTTATGTTGAACATAAGACGCTGTCTAAGACAGCATTTTAGGTACAACAAACTTTGTACATAAAACGCTGTCTGGGACAGCGTTTTATGTCTTTTATTTTTAAAATATTTACAATTTCTGAAATAACAAAGAAACTTAAAAAAAAAACTCAACACTTAAAAACGCTGTTTGGGACAGCGTTTTTAAGTTGATTTTTTTTATAAAAAAAAACCAGGCATAAAACGCTAATCGAGACAGCTTTTTAGCCTGGAAGCTTAGTTTGGTAAATACTTTGCCACGCAACCATTTTGGTGAATATTTTCCAAAATTGGCTTACTTTGGAAAAACGTCCTGTAAGATCTGTTAATTTATGGGAGTAAACTACACACTCACTCCCTAAACTTAGCTAATTGTTGCACTTCACTCCCTAAACTTACAAAGCTTGCAAGTTACTCACTCATCCGGTCATCAGAGGTAATTTATCCGGTGGTAACCGGTTACCCCAGGTAAACTCCCTAAACTTTTGATTTTTTTTTTTAAATTAGAGTATCTAATCAAAACTGAGGAACCACCGGGAGTTCACCTTGGTAAACGAGAAGCCATCATTACATTTCACAATACCCGAAGCGCGGGAAAGGCATTAGCCTTTATAACAAAGAATCCTATAGCAGCTTTCTTCATCTTTCCATATTCCGCCAAAAAACAGAGCTAAAAAAAAAGAAAAAAAAAACCCTTTGAAGTTTTCCCTTTGAAGAACAACAATGAATTTAATGTCGTGGCCTACTGTTGAGAGCCCAGCCGCAAAAGCACGAAGATTGTACTCTGAAGAAGGTATATTCTTGTTCTTGTACTTTGTTTGTCTTGTTCAATTTAATGGCAGAGCATGTTTGGGTAAAATAAATTTTGAGAATTTTGGTTTTGTTTTTGTGAATCTAACTCAGATTATGTGATAGCGACTTTATGGAAGGGTTTTTGTTGTTGCTTTTGTTGTTTTTTTGGTGGTTTTTGTTGTTAGGGTTTTGAATTTTGAATTATGCTTAGGGTTTTAAGAGAAGGGTAGAACAGGGGCCTTTGATGGTGGGTTTGAACTTGAGTTTGTCCTTAGTTGATTATACTCTGACATGTGTCCTTGACCTAGGTATGGAAGCACTGGTTGACGCGCACTCTCTATGGAGCTAGCATGATCTCCTCGTCACCCACCTCTTCCCCAAGCTTGATTGGGGTGCAAGACTTGCTGTGCAGCGCACCTGCGTGAAGTGGAAGCTGTGGTGGCATCTCCACAACTTCTCACTCACCCTACCCTTCTTAGGCCCTAGGGCTTCTATGAACACGTGGATCCTCAACGACCTCGTCTTCAATGATGGTCGTGACTTTCATGTCTGGATCAACAAGGACATGACCATCTATTTTGATGGATTCCCCCTGTTGTTCAAGGAAGAGTAGGCTGGTTGTAGGTGGAGGGGAGGGATTAGTGAGTAGCTAGTAGGTTTTTGGAGTTGTGCTACTCTTTTTGTAAAGATTTTAAGTTATTTTAGTTGGTTTTTAGATGATTGTCATGGTATAGTAGTATTGGAGTGACAAATTTGGAGTAGGTTTTTGTAATTTGTCACTACCATGACAATGTAACTGCTAAGTAATGGCTTCTTAGTAGAGGCCTAAATGAATGTATGGAACTAATATTTTGTGAATGAATGATCAATGACAAGTACTTTTATGTTCTCTTGTTTAAATATTTCACTTTGTTTATATGCTTATGATCTCTTGATATGTAGCTTGATCCATTTAATCACTTTGTACAGTAGTTTTGATCAATATATGTGGTGTGCATGGTAAAATGTTTTGTTTTATTGGTGCATTGACAAAAAAGCAAATGTCTGACCTCAGTCCATGCATAATAGTTCCCCGTGGTGGGGAATGGTTAGATGGTAGTGAAATGAGTTACATTGGGGGTAGAGTAAGAGTGTTTGATGGCCTTCCAATGGATGTAGATGATACTTTTGTCAAGGAATTGATTGAGTCTTTGGCATACACTAACATAGTAAAGCTGCATTTTTTGGATCCAAGGAAAACATTAAAGGATGGAGTTAGGTATTTGGGATTTGAGAGGAGTACATTTGATCCATTTCTTTGTTTGCTGTTAGAGTACATGGTCATTCATGTGTACACTGAGCATGAGTGTGGTAGTGTTGATTTAGGTGGGGGTTCTTTCTTGAATATGTTGACTAGTGGGATGGTTGGTAAGTCTAATCCTAGGAGTAATGTTGTGAATAAGGTAGATTATGACAGTGAGGGAACTGATGAGGATGACATAGAGTATGTTAATGCAAGGAATAGGATTACGCGGGATAAACTTGATCAGTTATCATATGAGGAAGAGTTAAGTATATATGCTACAGAGGGTTGCTGAATCAAAAGGGAAAGAAACACTAAATGTTGGTGATGAATGGGAATTAGGGAGTGACAATGGTAGCTATAGTGAGGGGGAAGATGATGATGAAGATTGTGGGTATTTGATTGCACCTGACACTGGAGAGGTTGTCAGGAGGAGACACAACAGAGTAAGAGATCGATGACGCAGAGCTTGATTTTTATGTGGGACAATCTTATATATATAAATGCAGC